GCGTTTCAAGTCAGGAAGGGGGGTGGCCTTAATTTCAGAGGATCTGTTGGTCTGGAGCTTAGGTGAGCCCTCGGGGTAGAGACTGGGGTTCGGAGCCCCCAGGACTAGATGACAAAGCCCAGCCTCGAGGTGATGCCATAAGCCAGGCTGTGACCCGCAGAATAATGGCCCCTTAGAATATTTACCTCCCAATCTCTGAAATGTGTGAATCTGTCCCCTGGCTCTGCAGGTGTGATTAAGGATACGGACCTTGAGGTGGGAGATGACTCTGGGTTATCTGGGTGGACCCGCTGTCCTCCCATGGGTCCTTAAGAGTGGAGAGCCTTTCCTGGCTGTGTTAGAGATGACAGGGAGGAAGAGAGAGATGTGACAGCACTCGACCCACTGTTGCGGGCTTCGCAGATGGAGGGAGGGGGCTGTGAACCAAGCCATGAGAGCCAAGCAACCTAGCAACCTCGAGAAGCTGGGAATGACCTTAGTTCACAACGAAGAGGCGGCACCTCAGTTTTAACCTCATGGAAACAGGTCCTCCCCTGGAGGCTCCGGCAAGCTCCCAGCCCTGCCCACACCTTGGTTTTGTTTTCTGCTGAGACCTGACCTGGCCGGGGTGATCAGGCAGGGGGCCCTGAGGACGTGGCGTGCACAAACAAGGGCTGGAGGATGAGCTGGGGTGTTCGGGACGAGGGGCACGGGGTGGTCAGAGGACCAGCGTGTGCGAGGCTGCTGGAGGTGGGGAGTGGGAGTGGGTTGATTGATGGGAGAGGGCGCCAGGGGATGCACAGGCCAGATGAGCCAAGATCGTGGTGGGCTGGGGCGGGCGGGGGCAGGCAGAGTCTCCCGGACCGTTGTCAGGACTTTGGGCCTCATTCATAGCTGAGTGGAAGCCATCTGAGTATCTTGGAGGAGGCCACATCTGTGTGTGGAAAAGATCCTGCTGGTGTCTGCATTGGGAGTGGGCTGTGGGGACAGCGTGGGTGTGCGGAGGCCCTTGGACAGCCACTGTCAAGCCCAGATGGTGCAGAAGTGAGGAGGGGCCGGGGGACTTGAAGGCAGAGCTGGAGGCCAGGCAGGGCCAGGGACGCTGAGCCTGGTGGGTGTGAGCAGGTGCAGGGTGGCTCGGGCTGAGTCCTGGCTCTAGCGCGGCTTGGCTGTGGGGCCTTAGACAAGCTTCTTAACCTCTCTGTGCCTTAGTTTCCCCATCTGTAAAAGGGGGTAGTTAGTAGGTGTAGGGTGGGGACTGGGGTTTGGTGTTTTGAGCAGGCTCCCCAGGGGGGCCGCTGCCGCTGCCCAGGTACTCACCCTGAGTAATAGAGGTGCAGATTCCCCTGGAGTGGGGTTGGGGTGCACCTCCTACCTCCACCCAACCCTATATTTTTGTATTTGATCAGACTCGTCTACCCCCACCCCAAGGCCACCCGGTCCCCCAGCTCTAGTCTCTCAGCTCCCCCACGTCGGCCTGGTGCCTGCTCATCTTAGGTGGGGCTTTCTGAAAGTGACATTTACCGGGTTTTGTAGGGAAAGCCAAACCAAACTGAAAACAGGCCTAGAAATGGGAAGGTTTCAGGCCACTCTCTTTATCTTGATGAGGCTAAGGCTGAGCCACAGGCCTTGGGCTGCACAGCTCATCACTCTGCGGACACTGTGCTCTGCCTTGAACCTGCTGGGGAACCCCACCCAAAAGCCCCCCTTCCAGTCCTCGGGCTTCCCCCTCCCACTCTCCCCTTTTTGATCCCCCTCCCCTCCCAGGCCACAGCCAGAGCCCAACCCAGCCATGTCTCCCCCTTCCCCCGGGCCACAGCATCTGATGGGCCACCCAGGGTTTGGGCCCCTGGTGCTTGCAATTCAGGAGGCCAGACCTCCTGGGGCTGCTGCAGGTGCGGAGGCTGCTGCCGCCTTCTCTGCCAGGAGCTGGGGAGGGGGAAGCGGGCAGTGGGGGGCAGGGGGCCAGTGGGGACAACGGGAGAGGTGGCAGAGAGAGTGATGAAGGGGACGAGGGGGTAAGGGCTGTGCCTGGGCCATCAGACTGGGCCAGCCTTTGCGGACCACAGGCAGTGCTGCAAGGGTGAAGCTCAGGTCCCCTGATGCCACGCTTTCTACTGCTGGGAGTACCCTGGGCAGGCGGGGCGGCCTCCCCCGCTGGAGCGATGCATCTCGAGGCGTTCGGGGCCCATTGAGCTCTCTGGCACACAGGAGACGCTTGATGCACCCGTGCAGTGGTCAAGGGTCAGCTGACCTGGGCTCAGATGCTGGCCTTGCACAAGGTGTGACCTTGGGTGGGTCTTCCACCTCTCCGAGGCTGGCTTCCACGGAAGGAGGGCCTCACAGGGCTATGGGGTCAGTGACAGCTGTTGTGACTTCTGGAACATGTGCACATTGCATTCACCCCATTTTCTGGGTGTCTGTAAAACAATGAGATCATAGGCCAAAAAAACCCAAACTTCCCCGGTGTCTCTGACAGAGAAGACCAGCCAGAGCGGCCTGGGGGCCTCTGGGGGGATGCTGGGGGAACGAGGCTGAGTGGTGCTCCCACCTGGACCCCACCTATAGCTCTGGAAATTCTGGGGGAGCTGGAGTCCAGCACCTCCAAAGGGCTAGGGGGCTAGCCCTTTCCCACAGAAGCCCCATGTGGAAACGGAGGCCCCCAGTCCTCTCCTGCACCCCTGGAGGGGCTCTGATGGGCTACAGCCGGACATCCTGGCTGAGAACCCAAGCCCCTCCCGACAGCAGGAAGACAGCGCCCCCTGGTGGCAAGGTATGGACATGCATGGATTGTCGAGCTGCTGCCTCCTTTCTCAAGTGCCACCTGGTTTTCTACAACTGCTTTATTTCTCTCTCTTTATGTATACACACGTTATTATTATTACTATTCTGTTTTACCGATCTACTTGCAAGTTAGTTGCAGACATTTTGATCCTTCACCGCTGAACATTTCAGCGTGATTCCTCTCCCACGAGGGTATTTCTGACATAAACAATTTATCAAATTCAGGCATTCAATATCAGTAGAACACAATCAGATATGAAGTCTACATTCAAATTTCAGCAGTACGGCAGCATTCTCCTTTACAGCAATACCCGCCTTCCACCTGGACTCAGGATCCAGTCTCGATATTGCCTTCGGTTCTCCTGCCTCTTTAGTCTCCTTTATTCTGGAACATTCCAAAGCTTTTCTTCCTCTTTCATGCATTGGCATTTTTAAAGAGTGAAGGCCAGTTGTTTCGTAGAAAGTCCCTCAGTTTGGCTTTATCTGATGTTTTCTCATGATTTGGTTCAGATTATGGACTTTTGGTAGAAAAACCACAAACGTGATACACCCTTCTCAGAACATTATTTTAAGTAGGAGACCCAGAGAGAGGGAGAGAACTGGGGGCAGAGTGAAGCTCCAATGTCCTCTCTGCGCTGAGCTGCTGTGTGACCTTGGACGGGTGCCTGAACCTGTCTGAGCTGCAGTTTTCTCGCCTGTAACATGCGGTGGGGATCTAGCCCCAAAGGCCTGGGGGTGGCATAAAGGAGGGATGCATGGCCGGTGGGGAGGTGATTCGCAGCAGCAGGGGTTCCCAGTTCCTCTCTGCCCCTCCCACCCCTCTGCTGGCCTGGGCGGTGGCGGCAGGAGGTTAAGAGGCAAGCAGCCAGGCTCCCCTCCTCTGGCCTCTGGGCCCGGTGCCTTCGTCTATCAATGAGATGAGCAGGCGGGCCAGGAGGGGAAAACCCAGGCCAGGGGCCTCGAAATTTCCCCACACTCAGCAGGCGCAGCCGGGCTGAACCCTCATACCCCGAGCTCACTTGGTGAGATGCGTCGGGCCAGGGGGAACCTAGGCTGTTGGCGGTCACTGTCCCCGGAGAGGCCCCCAGGGGCCCCTGGCGTGCTTGAGAAGAATGAGCTCCTGCTGGAGGGAGGAGGCTGGGCGAGCGTGGGTGAGGACAGTGCCATGTGACCGGTGGTGTGCAAATGTCAGGTTATATTTATTATTTCAGATTTATGTGGTGACGTTTCCGATGTGTGCAAAAAGAATGCACACGCCAGGTATCCACCCGCTCCGGGCTATGCGGGCCTCCTTGCTGCCCTCTGACCACTACAGAAAAATGTGTTAATTTTCACTGTTCCCTTGAGTGGAGAGAAGAGCATAGAAATCTCTTAGACCAGCCAGGCCTCTCCCACGTGGGGTGGGGGATGGGGGTCGGGGGAGGCGGTAAATGGCTTCTGCTTTCCACCCCAAACCAAAAAAGCCCCACTCCATGCATCCCATAAGTGGCCACCTCCTGTCTGTCCACCGCCACCTGGGTGGCTCTAGGTACAGGGGGACACGCTCCCTCCTGCCCTGTCTCCTCCTCCCCCCCTCCGCCCCCGCTCTCCCTTCCCGGAGCTCCTTGTTATGGGTCTGCCCAGAAACCTGCTTCATGCTCCACTTTCATTCTACCAGGAAGGGCAGACCTCCTTCCAGAGGGTCTCAGCTGAGACTTTTCTCTCTCAACCCCCTCCTACAAAGGGGCTTAGTTTTCAAAGAGTCCTGGAAACATGCGCATGAGAAACGCATATTCCTACAAAAAGTGTCTGACCCTGCTTCACACCACGTGCCAACGTGAAACCTGACACATGCGTTTAGCAGAAATTCTTACTGTGCACCTGTACCAGAGGCCAGGGTGGGGGGCAGCTGAGTTAACCCAGGGGAGGGGGAGGAGGCTGAGGCCAGGCAGCCGAGGCCACGATAGCGGTCCAGGGAGGCTGGGAGGACTTCTGGCGGGCTGGAAGTGATCTTGAGGGAAGGTGAGCATCGGGAGCCTCCGCGCGGTTTGGCCTGCGATGTGGAGGGCTGGAGCAAGTTCAAGGAGAGGCGAAGTCAGGTGTTTCCCTCCTGATTTCTCTTCTGGACCGTGAGGCTTGGTCTCAGGCCTGGCCTTGCCCGTGTGTGGAGACCAGGCCTTCTGGGGTCTGAGGGGCGGGAGGGAGGATGGGTGTCTGGGGCCCACTGGGCCTCACCAGTTTGTCCTACCCTCCAGGGTCAAGCCCCCACGGACGCCTGCGCTGGGGACCTCAGCCTCTACTACGACAATGCTGCCAGGAGGTGCTGTTACCGCTGCCCGGAGGGTGAGTGGGGGTGCTGGGCTGGGGGGAAGGGGGGACGGGGGAGCCAGCTTCATCGTTGCCGTGCTGACTATGGGTTCTGAAGCCCATCCTGCGGCGAGTTTTGTTTTGTTTTTTAATTAATAATGGCCCCTTCTAGAGCAGGTACTGTATATACGCTGGCCTGAGGCCTTCCCATGCATCGCATCATCTTATCAGATGCTCATAATTATCTTTTATGATTCCCATTTTGCAGATGAGGCTTTTGGGGTGCTGCAAGGTTCAGCAAGTTGCCCAGGGTCCCACGCTGGGAAATGGTAGAAGTGGCAGAACTGGCTGGGGCTGGAGTTTAGGGTCCTGTGACCCGGGAGTCTGGGCTGTCACCATCCTCTGACCACCTGGACGCCCGTCCTTTTGGCCTCTCAGCTTTGCTGTCTGCAGGTGGTGACAGGCCACAGTGCGCATGACAGGGCCCACGGCCGGTGCTGGGCAGGAACCCTGGTCAATCCGTCCTTAGACTGTGAGGGCCGACAGAGTCTGCGCTCAGGCCAAAAAAGGACCAAGAGGAACATCTTGGGAAAGAATTAGATATTTTCTCTTTCCAAAAATTGTTCAAAGCAGTCATTATAGGAGAAAAAGTAGAACTGCATGAGCGTTTCTGGCCTTTGTTTTGTGGGTTAGTGTTGGCCTTGGAGTATGTATCGGGGGGGTCCCTGTGCTTTTTTCCTAGTGCTTGGGACCTCTGTGCCAGCCAGCCAGCCAGCCAGCCACCCACATGCCTGCCCGCCCACCTGCCTACCCTTTCACCCACTCACTGGGCCACCTGGCGGCTCTCTGTTGTGTCCTCAGATCCCTCCCCTCTGCAGCGCTTCCCCCCCCCCGACCCCCCCCCCGCCCCCGCAGCCTGGTGGGGCCTTGACAGAGAGTGGGTGGAAAGAGAGTGCCATCCTGGTCCCAGGCTCCCTCCATTTAGACACTGTGACTTGGGAAGGGGGGCTCCCCCCACCGTTTTCCAGGCCTAGTGACTGGCAGTAGCTGAGTACTTCTCGTGGGCAGGGCATTTTGGCGGAGTTTTATTGACCTTGTGCTTCCGGGCATACAGAGAGGAAAAACCAAAAACCCGCAAAAACCCCTTCCTCGGTCTCTTGGGGAAATTTCTGACATTTTGCCCGTCCTCTGCCATCAGTGCTCAGCTGTGTGGTGGGGTTTGAGCGGGGGCGTGTTGGTGGAGGAAGGAAGCAGGGAGACCTTTGAAATTCAGAAGCTGAGATGTCATCGAAGCCTTCCTGTGACCCAGGCCTCCAAAGCCCTTTCTAGCATCCTTGACAGCTGGTCCCCAGCCCTCTGCATACACACCCTCGATCACGGGGCGCGCGCTCACTCACTGCCGCACAGCACTGGTGACAATTCGAGCTGATGAGCATGCTCCGTGCCAGCCATGGTGCTGAGCCCTCTACCTACATACTAGCTCACGGAACCGGATAGGGAGCCCAGACAGGGAACTTGGACATGGTGGGGTTCAGGGATTTGTCCATAGTCACATGCTAGAAAGTGGCTCAGGTGGGGCTCATGTGTCTCCGTCTAACTCGGAGCCGCAGCACCTCAGTCCTACATGGTGCTGACCCCCAAGGCACTCCATTCCAGAGGCAGCAGAGCATGTCGGAGCAGAGTCCAAGCTCCTCGCTGTTCTGCACCCCGCTTCCTGGGTCACCCTCCTGGCTTGCGCCCAGATTCACCACCCACTGGGAGAGGCCTCCCTGCAGATATGCGAGGCTTGCCCAGGTGTGGGGAGACTCTGTGAAGCCAGGCCTGATGTTTGACAAGAGCAGGGTTTGTTTGGGGCCAAGCGAGTGTATCCCACCTCGTCCCAGGAGCCGAGTGTTCTGCAAGGGCTGTGAGCAGGAAGGAGGCGGCGGCAGCCAGCTTGCCTGCCCCGCCCACCTTTGCCAAGCTTGGCTGGCCCCACTCTCCTCCCATGTGTGCAGCTCTTCAGGGAAACAGGAGAATCATTGGACAAACACCCTTCAGCCCCAATTCCAAAGCCAAGGAGAAAGCACCTGGAGGCCCAGATAAGTCCGGATGTTCACCTGTGCTCTGGTTCCCCAAAGCCAGGACTGCTCTGGATCGCTGCTGGGGGTGGGGCGGGATGGAGGCCGTTCCCCAGGACGGGCCGGCCGTGGGGCTGGGAAACCCTTCCAAAATCTGTCTGCTGCAACCACCTGTCAGACCCAAGGGCAGTGCTGCTGGGAACGCACCCCTGGGGGACCTGAGCTGACTGGAGCACACGGAGGTGGGGAGGCTTCCCTGAGGAGTCGGCATCGAAAGGAGACCCCGGGATGAGCAGGACCATGCTAGGCCGAGGTGGGGAGGGGGTGTGCTTTGGTTAGAGGGCACTGAAGATGCTGAGGCCTGGAGTGAACAAGGATGGGCCACTCAAGAAGTGGGCAGCGGTCCATGTGGTGGAAGCACAAAGCTGAAGGGGGCGGGGCGGGGGACAGTGTGGGAACTGGCGGCCCAGACGCAGTGAGGGAAGTTTCAGGGGCCAAAGCCGCTGGGGATGGGTTGCCTAACCACCCCAAAGCCGAGCCAGAGGGAGCCCTGACTGGTGCGGCTCTGTGGGTTGAGCACGATTGCTACAAAGCGGAAGGTCGCCAGTTCGATTCCTGGTCAGGGCACATGCCTGAGTTGTGGGTTCGGTTCCTGGAAGGGGCGCCTATGAGGGGCAACTGCTTGATGATCCTCTCTTGCATGGATGTTTCTGGCCATTTCTCCCTCCCTTCCCCTCTCTTTAAAAATAAATTCTTGGGGGAAAAAAAAAAGCATCAGCAGCTGAGCCAGAGGTAAGAGGCAGTGACAGAAATGTTAGGACAAACTGAGAACATTGGGCGTCAGAAAGGCTCTCATCAGCCGGGGAGCAGAGCGTGGCTGGAGACAGGTCAGGACAGAAGGATACTTGGGAACCAATTCTAAGCGTGCCAGGACCGCTGGGGAGACTTTGTGTGCTATTTCTGTTCCTGATGATGAAAGTGATACTCAGTGGAGAAGATCTCTGTGGAAAATGGGAAAAGGAGAAAAAGAGAAATGAGTCAACACTCCTAACTATTTTGCTCCCTCTGTCCCAGCCTGCGCGGCCCTTCTAGGCTGCCTGGAAGGCTCCCCCAGCCGGCCCCGGCCCTCCAGGACCCACCGAGGCTGCCGTCACCCTCTGCAGGCCTTACTCTCCACTCCCCGCTGCTCCTTCATTTTCTTTAGAGTTTGTACCCACATTGGAAGCCAGCTGGCTAATTCCTTTCTTTTTATGGCCCCTCTCCCACCCAGGCTGGAGCGTGAGCTCCATCGGGGCAGGGTCCTCCCCTTCTTAAATCTCACCATCAGTGTGGGCGCCAAGATGGCGCTCAGTAAATGTGCGTGTGGGGGCCGGGGGGTGGGGGGGCAGGACGGCCCACCAACGAAGTCACCCTGTGCCTTGAATTTTTATTTTTTGCACTTAAAAACTTCATTCTCAGCAGTGTCCACAGGCTTCCCCAGAGTAACTCGGGGGCACAAGAAATGCTGAAAACACCTGGCCTGGAGTCATTCAGGTCTAACAGAACCCTAACTCAGGCCCAAACAAGACAAAAGAGAAATAACTGGCTCAATAACGGAGAAATCCATGGCACCATAAATTCGGGTTTGAACGATGTCAAGAGTCCATTGGGTCTGCGTCTGTGGCCTTGGCTGGCCTCTGAGTCACCTCCTTCCCAGGAAGACCCTCCCCATCCTGTGGCAGCCATGACAGGGCAGCTCAGAGTCCAAGCTGCCCTTTCAACGGGGAATCCAAAGGTCAAGGGAGAGGCTCTTTCCTGGTAGCTTCTGCAAAACTCTCACTGATGCGGTTTATTGGCCTGTCTGGGTCATGGACCTACCCTGAAGGAAGAAGTATTCTGATTGGTCTGCCCGGGTCATGTGTCCAGCCTGAAGGTGATGCGTTCGGAGGGGCCTGCCTGGGCCACGTGCTCATTTGGAAGCTGCCTGGGGCGGGGAGTGCGTCTCAGCCAGAACGCGCAGACCTGAGTGGGGCAGGGCAGGCGAGCCCCGGGTGGACAGCCAGGATGCCCCCTACCTGTTGGCCCCGTGCTTCCGGTCTCACCGTCCTGCCCCTCCCTTCCCCGTACAGTGGGACTCAGGAGCAGCTGGGTGACTTGCAGGCCCCTCAGTCAAGCTGGATTAGGCTTCTCAAGGTCTAGGGACTAGGGCGCCTCTGTTCCTACGAGCGCGGCAGGACCCCAGAATGACCCGCGCTTGCTGTGTGCCCGGGACTGCTGCAGGGCTTCACGCATGTTCATCCTTACAACCCCTTTCATCCTTTCAACAACCCGAGGCAGGGCGTCCTATATTATTAACTTAATAGGGCCCATGAGGCCTTGGGCACTTGGCAGTGGCAGCCCAGGCGTCCCCGGCCCAGCCTGCCTCCCCAGCGCAAGCTGCTTCTGCTGCCCTCCGGGCGACCTCAGGCATCAGCGCCTCCATCTATAGCACGAGTTGCAGTGACATGTTTGGAGGTTTAGGGGTGTTGCTGGGGAGGACTTCAGGGATGAGAGGTGGTGGCAGCGGCGGCCCCTGAGAGTTCGCCAAGGTGGCCTGGCCTGCAGCTTCTCGGCTTCTTTTCCCAGGGCTGTCCCCGCAGCAGCTGTGCCCGCGGGAGCCATCTGACTGCCGGAAGCAGTGTGAGCCGGACCACTACTTAGACCCGGACGGCCGGTGCACGGCCTGCGTGAGCTGCGGAGGTAAGAGCACGCACGGGGCGGGCAGAGAACAAGATGTGGTGACCGTACTCTGAATTGGCCACCCGCCCGTGCCTCAGTTTATCCCTCTGGATTTGCGAATCAGTATCAGCCGTGATCTTTTGCATCGGAACTTTTTGGAGAGACTTAGTTAACGTGTTACCTCAAGGCAGGGACTCGCATTTGTTGAGTTTATTTTTTGCAAAACACTCAGGGGAAGATTCTTTTCTCATTCCTGTTTCCCAATGAGGAAACCGAGGCTTGGCGGGGGGAAGGGCCTTTCCAGAGTTACAAAACTGGTTCAAACCCCGGCCGTTTGAACCGACGGTTTGAAGCCAAGAGCCGTGGTCACTGCCTGAGACCACAGCGCTTCCAAAAGGACTCTTACAATAAGCGCTTTTGTTGTGGATGTTTTATGACGGTTAGTGAATGCGGTTTGCGTTCTGGTTGGGGTTTGTTTTGCTTTAGTGTGGGTTTTTTTGGGGGAGGGCGCGGGTGGGGGAAATTTGTTGAGATTTCTTAGCCTAACAAACACTGCTATTTCTTAGTGTGTTTAGTGTGTTTGAAAAAAAAGAATGTATATTCTGTTTGTTCCATTCAAAATTCGACATAGACCCATTCAATCAAGTTTATTAATTGTGTTATTTAAATAATATACATTTCTACTTAGTTTTGACACCATCACAAAGGCTGATTTCTGAGATAGATGTGTTAACAGCTGTCTGCCAATTTGGTTTTCATCTGATTTTCATTGTGTTCTATCTATTTTTGCTTCAAATATGTCAAAGCTGTGTTATTAGGTACAATGATCATTAATATGTTTCCTTGGTTAATTGGACCTTTTATCAACATGAAATATCCCTCTTTGTTCCTTATAATGTGTTTGCCTTCATTCCATTTTTGTTTGATACTAGTATTGCTATTCTATTTTTATGCTAGCATTTCTCTGGTGCAGCATTAATGTTTTAAAATGACTGCATTTTAGTGAAAGTTATATGTGTTCACTACTAAAAATTCAACCCATAGAGAAGTGTTAGGAAAAAAGCCAGTTCTGCCCCCTCCCCCGTCATTGGGTGAGTGACACTTCTCTCTCTCTCTAGGGAGAATTGGTAGGTCAATAGACAGACTACCCACACATAGAAAGATGGAGTTTTTTTTTAAAAAAGACATTGTTTATTTACTTTTAGAGAGAGGGGAAGGGAGGGAGAAAGAGAGGGAGAGAGAATCGGTTGCCTCTCACTTGCCTCCAGCTGGGGACCTGGACTGCAATCCAGGCATGTGCCCCAGCAGGGTATTGAACCGATAGCCTTTTGGTCTGCAGGCGAGTACTCAGTCACTGAGCCACACCAGCCAAGGCAAAGAAGGAGTTTTTAAGAGAATCAGATCATTCTATCTATGGCATTAAAATGATTACATTTAAGTTCATTCAAATGTATCCGAGGAAGAAAAAGCTAAAGTGAAGAAACTAAACTATCTCAAGAGACAGCAGTTCCTAACAACCCCCCCCCCCCACTAAAATTAAGAAAAGAGGTTATGAAAATCAATAAATAAGTGGTTAGGAATCAGTCAAGGAACAACTATGTCTTGTGATAAATTCATATTCCACTTGACTCTTAGTAATGAAAAATGAAGGAATTAGCTTGCTGGCCTCCCCAGCTTCTTTCTGGCCTTCATTGCTTACGTGTTTTCACTCTGTCCTCGCCTGCGGTATTTATATTCTATTCTCTGACCTTAAGTCCCTTGGCCTGGTAGCTGTGCTTCACTCTGTAAACGTGGTCATTGCACGCTGAGTCTAGTTACCACACTTCCCCATCCCTGAGTTGTTCATTTTGATTTATTGCTTGATTTCATGGTCATGCGGATTTTTCTGGAAGGACTCAGCTTTACATCTTCCTTCGCTTCTTTCATGGTCGAGGGTGTGTGTTGCCTTGGCACGTGAATGACAGCTTGGGAGATAGAGCGTTATTCCTCGAACATGTTTTCCCTAGAACTTTGTAGGCATTGGCTCACTGTCTTCTCAGGATCAACGTCGCCGTGCAGGGGTGTGCGGCCACCCTTGTTTTTTACTCAGTGTAGGTGACCGCAGGAATAATTCTTTCTTTATCCTTAAGGATAAAAAAAATGTAACCAGAATAGACGTTGATGTTATTTGCTTGGAAACAATTCTTCCCGGTATCTGGTGCATCGTTTCTACCTGCGGATTGAGTTCTTCCTTCATTCCAGGGAAGCTGACATGGATTTTTCTCTCACTAAATACAAATGGGGTAGGCAAGAGTAGATTTAAAAGTTACGAGAATGCAAAACATGGAGTTTATTCTTGTGCTATTATTTTTTTAAAGATTTTATCTCTTTTTAGAGAAGAGAAGGGAGGGAGAAAGAGAGGGAGAGAAATATCGATGTGTGGTTGCATCTCTTGCACCCCCTACTGGGGACCTGGCCTGCAACCCAGGCATATGCCCACACTGAGGATCGAACCGGCAACCCTTTGGTTCACAGGCTGGCGCTTAATCCGCTGAGCCACCCCAGCCAGGGCTATTCTTGTGTTGTTATTTATTGATTGTTGTGCCATTTGCCAAAGGAACTGCTATAAACGTATTTTTGCCCACCCCTGTATATTTCAATGTCAATTTTATGGACTCCAGTTACCCTTCTGTTTGTTGTCTAGAGAGGCTTGCATTCATTCAGTAATGACTTTGACCGATGACTTTTTTCTATTTGAGATAAAATTCACTATTTAAAAAATTTTTTTCATAATGTATTTAATAATTCTGTTTGGTGTTTTTAAACGCTCAGTGCTTAATTCAGCAAATTCTGAGATCACTACAAAACTAAACAAAAACTGAGATTTCAAAAGATGGTCAGACTGCAAAGCATGTATAAGAACTAAGTCAATTACCAGTGTGACATGCTTAGTATTCTCTATAAATAATAACTACCAGAAATTATTGACAGAAAAAAGTGCAAGTTCTTCCTTTGTATTTTTTGTACTCTATAGGTTTAGCACATAATTATTATAAGATGAATAATAACCAGTTACCTTAATGGAAGTTAGCAAGTGCATAGTTGTCAATATTGCACTGTATAACAATATTTAGTTACCGTTCAGTAGTAATAAAATGACTTTGCACACCCTGGCCTCATGGACGGACTTCCTAGTACCTAACACCTTATTTTTAACATAATTGAAATATGTGATAGTAAAACCTACCGTTTTAAAGTGTACAAGGAAGTGATTTTATTCTACTACACTCACCGTGTGCACCACTACTGCTGTCTAATTCCAGAACATTTCTACCTCCCCCAAAGAAACCCCTTACCTCCCACCTCTGTCTGCCTCCCTTCCCGCCCCGTCCGCTGCCTGTCCCTACAGACTTGCCTACTGTGGACATTTCATGTCAATGGAGCTTTGCAGTGTGTGACTTTCAGCGCCCGGCTTCCTTGACTCTGCAGAGCATTTTCAAGGCTCATCCATGTTGTAACAGGTGTCAGTATTTCATCCCTTTTTATGGCTCGATATGATTGCATCACATAGATACACCACATTTTGTTTATAGTGTCGATGGACATTTGGGCTAGTCCTGCTTTTTGGCTATTATAAATAGAGCTGCTACGATCATCCTCATACAAGTGTTTGTGTGGACATACGTTTTCAGTTCTCTTGTGTAGATACGCAGGAGCGGAATTGCTGCATCTTACAGTAAAATCTGTGTTTAGCTCTTTGAGGACCTGCTACACTGGTTACCATGGCACAATGTAATCAATATTCCCGCTAACATCGTGTGAGCATTCCGGTTGCTCCACATCCTCATCAGCACTTGTCACTGTCTGTCTTTTTGCTTCTTGCCATCCTGGTGGGTATGAGGTGGTGTCTCATTGCGATTTTGGTTTGCATTTCCCTAATGGCTAATGATGTTGAGCATCTTTTCATGTGCGTAATGGCATGTGTGTGTCTTCCCTGGAGAAAAATGTCCTCGAACCCTTGGCTCATTAAAAAAAATACCTAATAGACCTTTTTAAAGAACAGTGTTAGATTTATAGAAAGATTGAGCAGAAAGTACCGAGAGTTCCCATATGCCCCTCTCTCCCCCACGCCCCACAGCTTCTGCTGGTACTAACATCGCCCGCTAGTGTGGGATATTGTTACAGCTGATGAACCGGTATTGGTACAGTATTAACTAAAGTGCATTGTTTACTTGAAGGCTTACTCTTTGCGTTTGCAGTTCTGTGGTTTTGGGCACATGTTTAATGCCGTGTCTCCACTGTTGCAGTGTGACACAGAAGAGCCTCAGGGCCCTAAAAATCCCCTGTGCTCTGCCTGTGTATTTTCCCCAGCCTTCACCGCTGGACCCTGGCAACCACTGATCTTTATACCATCTCCCCATAGTTTTGTATTTTCCAGAATATCATAGAGTTGGAATGACAGTATGTATAGCCTTTTCAGGTTGGTTTCTTTCACTTAGAAATATGTGTTCAATGTCCCTCCGTGTCTTTTGTGCCCATTAAAAAATGGGGACAGGAATTTATTTTTAATACTGATTTAGCGATCTCCAGGGCTGCGGGCTGGGAGGTGGGGGCCGCTGCGGGGACCGCACCTGCCGTCCTGCCTTCATCTCAGGAATGCTCTGGAAAGGGCTGAGCCTGCCAGCTGCCCTGCCCAGCGGGAGGTCACGACAGCCCCCCTGCACCTGCTGGACTGTGCCTGGGGGTCCTCAGATCCCTTCCCTTGCCCTCACCGTCCTCTGTGACCCTTCTCTGCTTCCCTCAGAGGACCTCGTGGAGAAGCAGCCATGCTTGGGGAGCTCGCCCCGCGTCTGTGAATGCCAGCCCGGCATGTTCTGTTACACCACAGCCACCAACTCGTGCGCCCGCTGCTTCCCCCACTCTGCCTGCCCCACAGGGACTGTTGTCAAGTTCCCGGGTAAGTACCCCGCCTCCCGGTGCTGCGCATCCGCACCGATGCCCAGGTGGCTTCCTGCCCCCGCCTTCCTTCTGAGTGACAGATCACTGCTCCTTTCATGATGAGGTCTTGGGTGCACCAGGCCCCCAGCGGCCCCTGCTGCCCCTTCCCCTCACCTGTGTCCCAGGCTCAGAGAGACCCTGGTGGCCCAGGGCACAGGCCTGGCTGGACGAGGTCTTGGGATGGTTTGAGGCTCTGGGCGAAAGTCCCCTGGTGCCCGATGAACAGGAAAGAGCCCTCTGGCCTGTTTCCCGGGAGATGCCTGGGGGATTAGGGCTGCTTTTCCTGCCTCACCGTCGAGGCCTTGGGAGTTAGACTGGCGAGACCGGCCTTCTTTCCCAGCTTGCCGGGTGGCCCGGGCCAGTTGCTCATCTGCCCTGGGCTTCTAAGTTTCTGACAGTACAAGGAGGGCGGTGGCCAGAGGGGAGAGAAGGGCCACAGGTCCTGTGTGGGTGGCATTGAGAATACTTCTCAGGAGGGAGGCATTTGGGCCACAGCCCAGAAGAGGTACCACAGCCACACAGGGGACACGGGGAGGGGGGCGTCAGAGGGAGCCACGTCCGCTGGGGAGGACAGTGCCCGTGACCTGGTCCTTTTCCAGAGTCCCCTCCCCACTCTCCTTTTCCCACCCCCCTCCCCTCCCTCCCTCCCCTCCCAGCTGGCCCACCCCCAATTCTCTTTCCTGCCCCCCACCCCCGCCGCCTCCCCCATGGCAGACAGCCAGAACCCCCTGGGCAAAACCAGTCACACTGTGTGTGTGTGTCTCTCTCTCTCACACATACCTGCCTAAAACATTTAGTATCTTTCTTTACTCTAACGATAAGAGCATAATCCTTTGATAAAAAAGAACAGGTGTTTTTAGGGACTTTTTTTTTAAGCCTGTGTAACTGGGAATTCTGGGTTGCTGGCTTATTGGGCTCAAGGTGTGGGATATGCGAAGCGAAGAGAACACCCACCGCTGTGCCCCTCCCTCGCCTCTCTGCCTGCTCGTTTCCCTGTTTCGGAGCCTTCTAGCCACGCCTGGTGGGAGGACTAGGGGCAAGCACATCTATTCCATCTTCCCCGAAGCAGAGTCCTTTTTAAAAATTTAATTGATTTGTTTTTAGAGAGAGGGGTAGGGAGAGACAGAGAGGGAGAGAAACATCGACTGGTTACCTCTCATATGCACTCCAGCCAGGGACTCAACCACAACCCAGGCACATGCCCCGACTAGGGATTGAACCCATGACCTTTCGCTTTGTGGGATGACGCCCAACCCACTGAGCCACCACACCGGTCACAGCCAGAAGCAGAGTCTCGAGGACGAGGCCCTTAACACGACTCTCTATGGTGTGGCCCCCCGTTCCTCCAGCCTCAGCTTTCAGCACCAGCCGCTCACTACCGGGGCCCCACCTGGTCTGTCTGCTGTCAGTCCCATGGATGGGCAGTGCTCTTCCCTTCTACCAGGCCTTTGCATACACTGTGCCCTCTGTCGGGGGCACCCTTCCCTCTCCATTCACTTAGTTAACTCCTACTCAGCCTTGAGCTGGGTCACGCAAAGCGCCCTGCTACGGGACACGCAGAAGCCCACCACCGCGAGCAGGGGCAGGGTGGTGGAGTGGAAAGCGCCTGGACTGGGCATCAGATGCCTGAGATTCCGTATAGCTTCGCACGTGTGGGGCGTGTTCCCACCACTCTGTGGGCCTCAGTCTCCGTATCTGTTAAATGCCTTGAGTTCGGTTGCTCTAACTGGGGCAGGCATGGTTCTCTCAGTGGTTTTCCTGTGACGGCCACACAGGGGCGCCAGAGTCCTCTCTCTGCTACCCCTTGACCAGTCGCCCCAGGCCGAACCACTAGCTAAGGCTAAGAGCTGAGCTCACCGGGGTTCTCGTTCTTAAAATTCACAAAACTCTGTAAAGCAGGTGTATTAGCTCCGTTTTACAAGTAAGGAAACTGGGATCCCGGGATGGCAGGCAAATTGCTCAGGACCACAGAGCAGAGAATATCCGAGCTGGGGTTTGAATGTCAACCCCGGGTCTTGTCACCCCGCTGCACTGCAGACACACAAGATAAGTCAGCCTGGTTCATACCTACCTCCCCTGAAGCCCTCAGGTCCTATCCCACACCTGTGGGCCACTTTCTAAGAGATGGGACAAGGGTCCAGATGAGGAAAAGGACACATTTGTTTTCTAGGCATTTGCTCCATGTCGCACTGTGTGATAGGTCCGTTAGTTACCTTCTCTGTTTATCCTGAGAGTGGCCTTGTAAAGGCTGTACCCTTATTATAATCCTTTGAATTGCCCAGTGCAGCTACGATGTGATAGAGGAGGCGGCAAACTCGGGTCCGCTGAAGGCAAGTGCTGCGTGTTTTCCTCTCCTCTCTGCTTCCATCCGGTATAGCCTTCAGGACTCTTTGGGTTGCAGGGAACAAAATCCCATATATTTGGGCTCATGTAACTAAGAAGTTGGGGCCTAGCTACGGATAACTTCAGGCACAGCTGGGGCCAGGAGCTCTGTCTTTCCCTATCTCTCATCTGTACCCCTACGTTTAGGTGTCTGTAAGATACCTACCAGCAGCTCCAGGCTTGCTTCCTACCCAACCCCAGTGGAAAGACAGCTTCTCCTTCCTACATGTCCAACAACCAAAAACAAAACCTTAAAATTGCACCTCATAGGCGTGGCTTGGGTCATATGCCCACCCCTGAGCCAATCCACCATGGCCAGAGGAATGGAATAATTTGATTGGTACAGACTGGTCTCATGGCTGCTCTTGGAAGGGAAGAGGGTCAGTCAGTCCCGGACCCTAAAAACAGGTACTGGGTTTGGGGAGAGAGAATCCCTGGAGAAAATCGGGGCGCTTCGCCCCAAGGGGGAACGGATGCTGGGCAGGTGCAAACACCAGATGCCTGCTGCTCTCTCCAAATCCCTGGAGTCTTTGAACCCCTCGATACCAAGCCTGAAAGCATTGTGTCCCCCATAGGTACAGCGGAGAAGGACACGGTCTGTGAGCCGCGTTCCCCAGGGACCGGCCCTGACTGTGGCACCAGTCCCGAGGACTGCAAGGCGCCCGCCAGGTGACTCCGGCCCGCCCCACGGCTGACCTTAGTGTGGGGGTCTCTCTCTCCACAGGATGGCTGGACCCTAGCTGGGGCTGGGGGTGTGAGTGGGGTTCAGCACAGGGTGTCGGGTCCAGGGTGCCTGTTTTCCAAGCCCATAGGTCCTCTGAAGCCCGGCTGTGTGCCCAGCCTGACCTGGTTGCACAGCAGACCCAGAAAGCCTAGGAAACCCAGCCTTTGCTCCCTGAGGGGGGCCCGCCAGAGACTCCGGGCAGAGGGCCTGGGGACCCCTTCTTTGTAGACATGGTTACCCCAGCACAGACCGCTCCCATCAGTAGACCTGTGCGTTCCATCTCTGGCTTTTCTCCCAGCGGCACCGCCCCCCAGGCCGAGCACATCCTGACCTCCGCAGGCTCCGATGCCAGGACCACGCTTCTCGGAGGGGATGCTCCCCTCACCCCGAAAAATGATTCCAGGATGACAGGGGCTCCCAACTCTCTCCCCTCTGTGGGGAAGCCCAGTCCGGATCCAGGTAATTTCCCCAGAGAAGCTGTGGGCTGTTTCTCATAGCACCTGTGTCTGATTGGTGGGCGGCCTGTGCATGGTGGTCCAGGCAGGCGGGCCCTGAGCTCTGGTTTCTCCCAGCACGGGGAGAAGGCAGACTGAAGGCATCGAGGGCCAGAGCATGTAAAGGAAGCGCTCGCTCCTTGCACGGCAGTTTTGGTACCTCCTGTGTGCCAGCCACTGAGGTGGGTGCTGGGGCTTGCAACGGAGCAGGCCAGCCTCTGCAGCCGCGGGCTGGGTGCCCTCCTGGTTCCCATGGCAGTGGATTGGGCCCCCCAGTTCACCCCTGTTTATTGTTGAATAGCCTTCCGTGTATAGACACACCACACTAAGCTTATCCAAGTAGTTTTTGGATATTTGGGTGGTTTCTACTTCTTGGATATAATGAATAATGAAAAACAAGTCTTTGTGTGAGTATGTTTTTTTTTCATTTCTCTTGGATTAAAAAAAATTGATTTGTAGGACTTCTTATAGTGCTGGGTTTTAGGCTCTTTGCCCTATAGTTGTGCTCAAATGTCTTCTCCCAGCCTGTGGCTCGCCTTCTCGTTCTCTTTATGGGGGCTCTTCACGGAGAGTGTTCTCAATTGTAATGTAGTCACATTGATCGGTCTGTTCCTGTCTGACTCGTGCTTTTTATGTTCTGCTCTGTAAGTCTTTCCCCCTTCTGAAATCTCAAAGGTGCATCCTACATTTACTGTCTACGATCATTATTGCTTTGCGCTTCGTGGCCAGCTCTGCTGGCTCCCTTGGCTTGTGGGTACGGTGCGAGGCAGCGGTCATGTTGAACGTGTCCGTGTGGATATCCAGTTGGACCAATATCATTTACCAAATAAATTGTCCTTTTCCCATGGTTTTGCATGCCGGATTTGTTGTGAATTAAAAGTCTGTGTATGTGTGGGTATGATTCTGGACTTTGTATTCTGTTCTGTGGGTCTTTTTGCCTGTTCCGTGTAATTACCATACTGTCTTAGTTACTGTTGTTTTTCAATGCCTTTGTGGGTTGTTGAGCAACTCTTTCAATTTTATTCTTCAACAGTGTATGGGCTATTCTAGTTGTTTTCATTTCCACTTAGGAATCAGCTTTTCAAAGTCCGCCAAGTATCCTATTGGCATTTTGATTGGGGGTTGCCCTGAAGCTACAGGTCAGTTTGGAGAGAATCCACATTGTTACAGTGTTGAGTATATGGCATAGCCGTGCATTTATTTAGGCTTCTTTAAATTCTCCCAATAATGCTTTATCATTTTCTATGTAGAGATATTTACATCTTTTTGTCAGGTTTCTCGGTATTTGATATTTCTGATGATAATGCAGATGGTGTCTTTTTCAGTATGTTGTGTTCTAACTCTTTTTGAACCATGTGAAATTGCCAATATTTGACTGGCTGACCTATCGAAACAACAGTTTCATGTGGGTCAACCCAAATATACAGACATTTAATTGATTTTGATATAGAAACATTGTATTCAGCCACCTTGCTGATTCACTTATTAGTTCTAACAATGTATCTGCAGATTCTTTGGATTTTCTGTGTACTAAATGATATCATCTGTCTATAATAGATTGAGATCTTCCTTCCTTACCGCTTTCATTTCTTTTTCTTGCCTTATTGCATGGGATAGGGTCCTTGTACCATACTGAATAGAAGCTGTGATAGTGGGCATCCGTGCCTCAGTGCTGATCTCAAGGGCAGGTGGCTGCTGAAGCTTTGAGGAGGGCAGTGACATAGCAGTGAGCGTGGGGAGAGGGCTCTGGTATAGTGGAAATGGTGGATCATGGAGGGGACCGAGAGGGTACGGGGTGCTCAGAGCTCTTCTGTGTGGCCTTAGACACATTCCTCCCCTCTCGGAGCCTTGTGACTCCCTCAGGGGGGATGAACCTGACATGTGTGGAGGTTGGGAGCTGGCCGTGCATCTGGGGGGTACTTCAGTGACTGTGTGGAGGTGAGGCCCCTACAAGGTGGCCTGGCCTAGACCTTCTCTGCTTCTTTCCCCAGGGCTGTCCCCGCAGCACGTGTGCCCGCCGGGGTCTGCCGAATGCAGGAAGGAGTGTGAGCAGGACTACTACCTGGACGGGGACGGCCGCTGCACGGCCTGTGTGAGCTGCTCTGGAGGTAAGAGCCTGTCTTTCCACCAGGGTCTCCTTCCAGGGTCTGGGGGTGGGGGTCTTACAGGACAGACTGGGGGAGGGGAACCCTGAGTTTGGTCTTAGGCTGCACAGCCCTCAGGAGCCCGGTTCACTCTGGTGTTTTGAGCTGTCAGCATCTAGTGACTCCCACTCATGGTTGTGGTTTTTGATGCCGGTGACCCCCTTTCCATTCATGCACTCTCTCAGGCAAGGAAACACTTGTTCATCACCTCCCTGTTCCAAATGTGTCTCATTATTTTTCATCACTATCATACACTGCGTGGATTGCGACTGCCCCCATTTTACAGAAGAGGAAACTTAGGCTTTGGAAAGTCAAGGGACTTCCAAAGGCAACAAGTCCTTGAGAGTGGCAGGGCTGGAGTTCGAACATAGGGTGCCTGCCACGAGGTTCTGGGCTCTGGTCCTCCTGCTGTGCTGTCCCTTAGAGCACACTCTGGACAGACTCTCGGCAGTGGCTGCTGTGTGTACAGCAGGCAAACATCCTGCTGGTGTTTTCCCTGTGGCCAGGTCACCATAGCCCCAGAGCACCACCAACTGCCCTCTGACGTCTGTGAGGGCCACACGGGGCAGGGGAAGTGACCCAGGGTTTGGGCAGCCCTGGTTGTTGGTGCCCAGCCCACTCACAGAGGCTGGCGGGAAAATGCTGAATTCTGTCTCCTTGTCTGGGATTTCTTTCATGCAGCAACCCAGACCGGACTCAAGGGAGACCGGACAGAGGAAAAAACAGTCTGTCGTCACCGGGGGCCGTTGTTCCAGTAACTAAGACAGCGTAGCAAATTTCTCAAAACTGAGGTGGTGAAAACAAACCACCCACGGTACTCATGGATTCTGTGAGTCAGAATTCAGACAGGACATTGTGGGGACAGCGGGTCTCAGCCGCACGAGGTCCAGGGTCTCAGCTGGAAAACTCAAAGGCCGGAGGGTGGAATCATTGTATCTGGGGGTCGATGCCAGCTGCCTTCTGGAGCCTTAGGTCCTCTCCATATGGCCTCTGTATGGGTCACTTTAGGCTTTCTCCTGGCCTGGTGCCCGGCTTCCAAGAATTAGGGTTGGGGGAGGAGCAGAGAAGTCGCATCCCTTTTTATGACCTAGCCTTTGAAGTCACGTGATGTAACTTCCACCACTTTCTAGCTGTTGAGGTTGTCACAGATCCTACTTGAGTCAAGGGAGGAAGCAAAATCAAGCTTCTTGACCTGACTGGTGTGGCTCAGTTGGTTGGAACATCATCCCATAAACAGAGAGGTCGTGGGTTCAATTCCCGGTCAGGGCATGTGCTTGGGTTGCAGGTTCAGTCCCTGGGTGCATGTGAGAGACAACAGATTGATGTTTCTCTCTCATATAGATGTTTCTCTGCCCTTCTCTCCCCCTGTCTTCCCCTCTCTCTAAAATCAATAAGCATGTCCTCAGGTGAGAATAAAAAAAAAAAAAGTGAGCTTCTTGGTAGGTAATTGCCAGAGCTCTGGAAGAGCAGATAGGGCCAGAACTATTGCTTTGGCCCTTTTTGGAAAAAAGATAATCTGTTATGGCTGCTATTGTCAGATGGAGAAATAAGAGGTGGCTCTGGCCCAAGAACACCTTTAACTCTCGTAACTGGAGCGTGTGAGGCAGCGAGAGGCTCAGAGCACAGGTTCTGGGGCCCAAGTGCCGGGGATCAAATCTTGGCTCTACCACTTGGTATCTTGGAAACTCCAGCAGGCTTCTCTGTGCCTCAGCTTCCTCATCTGTAAAACGGGCATAATACTACTACTATCTCAGAGAGCTGTTGTGGGAATGAAGTAGGTTACACTGAATCAGGTGGAGTGTTAAGAACATTGCTTTGAACACATGTGACTGTATTAATAGCTGTCATGGTCTCAAGTCATCTCACTCACGGCTGAGCCCACTCTTGCACAAATTCCCCAAGTCCCCCCGCCCCCAGTCCCCGCCTCCAGTTTCCACTGTCTCTGGAGGTTGCAGGAAGAGACTGTGCGGTCCCTCATCTTTATCGTGCGAGGTCCCTAAGTATCCCACCCAGGGGAAGTGTCCTACCGAGCCCCGCACATTTGTCTCACCTACTGATGCAGTGATTCTGTTTTCACATAAATAGAGCATGCACAATATCTCCAAACATATGTAAGTGCATTGCTGTGCCTTTTCTCTTATAAAGCCTCAAACATTTTATTTTTTGATTTTGGAAAAACACTTTCTACCACTGCAAATTCAAACCCATTTAGAAGTAGAGGGGATCAGGAATGGTTATGGGCTGGCTGTCAGCCGGTTTTAAAGACTCACCGAGCCGCGGTCAGTCTTGGTTCGTTGATTCTCATGCCCGCTCATCCCAGTCCTCTGGGTTATTTGAACAGTGTTATTGAGGTATAGTGGATGTATAACAAAATGCACGCGTTTAAAGTATGCTATTTAGTGAGTTTTGACATAGGTTTTCACTTGTGAAACCACCACCCCAGTCAAATAATAAACTACCCATCACGCCCAACGTTTCCTCTTGCTCCTTATCATCCCTCCCCGCCCCACCCCCACGCCCCTTCCCAGGCAGTTATTCTGCTTTCTGTTCACAGTGCAATAGGCGGCATTTTCTGGAATTGGAATCAGCGCGCATACCCCTTTCTCATCGGCCTTCTTTCACGCTGCAGTTATTTGAGCACGTCAAAGAATCAGCTCCGTGGGGAGTCAGATGAGCATTTGCTCCTGGGGAGATGCACCTCTGCCCCCCCGGGGGTTCCCCGCACCCCCTGCCCATGCCGACCCTCATCCTTCCTTACGACCTTTCCCTGTGCCCCGCAGACGACCTCGTGGAGAAGACGCCTTGCACGTGGAACTCCTCCCGTGTCTGCGAATGTCGGCCTGGCATGTTCTGCATGACATCAGCCACCAACTCCTGTGCCCGCTGTGTCGCCTGCCCCAACGTCCCACCAGAGATGGTTGCCCCACTCCAGGGTAAGCAGTCTGCACCCCTTGCCAGGGGGCTGAGGTCCGCGCCCCTGCAGCCGAGCCTCTCCCGCCCCACTGGGCATGCGACCTTCAACCCCAGCTGTTAACTAGGTCAGGTTTTGGCTTGGTTTTCTCTTTGACTAGTTATATCCAGCGACTGGCATGAGATCCAAATTTGTCACTTTGGTAAGATGTTCTAATGATTTTTTAAAAAAAATTCTTCCCCAGACTGCTGGTCTGGTAAAATCTTGATGTACCTGCAAGGCTGTTTTATTGACTCAAGATAGATGAATAGAAAGTTTATGAAGAGGCATCTAACTCAAGACAGTGGACATTTGCTGGAATCTAGAAAAGTATAAACCTTTGACAATGAAAAACAAAAACCAGGTTCATCAGCAGCTGAGAGATTTCAACCAATTTCTAGAAGGCAGAAAATGGGGGGAAAGATGGTGACAAATGGGACCAAGTGGAGGGAAGTTTACCCCAGAATTTACTCCACGGGGGCGGTGGGGAGAGTGAGGGGAACTGGTTCATAAGACCGCGAGGGAGCGCCTGGGCTCGGAGCAGGCGAGTAAAATGAAGGAAGGGGTGCAATGGAGAACTGCAGATTGTAACTTCATCTCGTAAAGAAAATTTTAAGAAATCTGTAACAATGGTATAGCATGGGCGCTGACAATCTGAACCGGTGGTTCCAGGGTCTTTAGCTCCTGGTGGAAATAATCCACTTTTTTGGCCAAAGACACTGAAAGGGTCTCCGTGGGGAGCCAGGGCTAGCAATGCGGTGCTGCCCTTCTGGTGTAAAGCCCTCTGTGTATTTGGGAGCACGTCCCGTCACTGGGCTAGTGCTGCTCAGTCACTGAGTGAAGGCGGCCAGCTCACAGGCCCCACGGGCATCCCAGGGCGCCCAGGCAGACCCCCGCTGCGGGAAGAGACCCGCTGCGGGAAGGGCATGCTAACACCGTGGCAGAACAAAGCCCGCTAGCTACTGTAACCCTTTTGTAATAATACAAATGAGCAGTCAAGAGTTTCAGGCTTCAAGGAAAACCAGAGAATAACAAGATATGCAAAAACTTACCCCTGTTGAAGCAATGGCAAACCTAGGGATAGAAGAGAACTTGAAAAAATGGAAACGTGTCCACAGGAACATTCCAGAACTTGTTACAGCCACAAAGTGAGCACAGAACGCTACGAAAAAGGAACAGGAAAAGACAGGAGGACAAGAGATGGCATTTAGAAAGTGTGCTTGTTATCCATCGATGGCCTCTCAGCTCCCTGCTCACCCTTCAGGAACTGAAAGATTTCTCCTTGTAAGCACGGTGTTCAGCTTTGCCAGTAGAGGGCGCCGGGGGGCTGTGGCGGAGCACAGAGACGTCTCTGGGCTGCGTTTGCTTTTTGTTGCTCCTGCTGCACCCTCAGTCAGTGCCCGTTGGTTCGACGTCAGCAGGCGGTCCCGTGGAGACCTCCTAGCTCCAGTCTAGGCCTGGTGACCACCTTGCTGTGACCTCCCTAACAGGGACATGGGCCCTCGCCAGGCCTCGTGTCTGCAGGAGTGCCGAAATTGTCTCTGTGCACCCCCTACCTGCCAGCTTGGTCCCTGGGTGCTCCAGGCCTTGCACCCACAGTGGTACCCCAGCTTTCCATATGTACCTGACCCGAGAAATACAAGGCCAGGTGAAAGCATCTACCACAGGCAGAGCAGGGTGAGTGAGAATCCCCCACACCTAGACATAATAGATGTACTCCTATTTATTTACTAATTAAATTTTCAGTGATGGCTGACAGACAATATTCTATTAGTTTCAGGTGTACAACGCAGTGATTTAGACATATATATAACTTATGAAACGCCCACCTTGACCAGTCTGGCAGCCGCCTGACACCATTCAATGTTATAGCAACGTTATGGACTATATTCCCTATGCTGCGTTTTACATCCCCGTGACTTCTTATAAGTGGTGATTTATACATCTTAAACCCCTCCCTTTTTCACCCAGCCCCTCCACCTCCCCTTCCATCTGCAACCATCAGTCTGTCCTCCGTATCTATGAATGGTTCTATTTTGTTTGTTCATTTATTTTGTTCTTTAGGTTCTACATGTCAGTGAAATCATAGAGTATTTGTCTTTCTCTGGCTTATTCCACTGAGCATAATCCCCTCTAGGTCCACCCGTGCTGTCGCAAATGGCAAGATTTCATTCGTTTCTATGGCTGAGTAATATTCCATCGCATGTAGGTGCCACGTCGTCTTTGTCCGCTTGTCTGTCGATGGGCATCTAGGTTGCTTGCATGGCTTGCCTATTGCAAATAATGCTGCAGTGAATATAGGGGTGCGTATATGTTTTTAAATTCATGTTTTAGGTTTCTTCAGGTAAAAAACCAGACGTGGAGTTGCGGGGTCATGCGGTAGTTCTACTTTTGATTTTTTTGAAGAACCCCCATACTGTTTTCCATAGGGGCTGCACACATTTACAGTCCCACCAACAGTGCATAAGAATTCCCTTTTCTCTGCATCCTTGTCTACACTTGTCGTTAGTTGAGTTATTGTAACAGTCATTCTGACAGGTGTGAGGGGATCTCATTGTGGTTTTAATTTGCATCTCCATGATCAGTGATGTTGATCATCCTTCCATAGTCTGTTGGCCATCTCTGTGTCCTCTTTGGAGAGATGTCTGTTCAAGTCCTGTGCCCATTGCTTCATCGCATTGTCTTTTGGGTGTTAAGTTGTACGAGTTCCTTATATATTTTGGATATTAACACCTTATAAGATGTATCATTGGTGAATGTTGTCTCCCGTTCAGATGGTTGCTTTTTTGTTTTGTTGATGATTTCCTTCACTGTGCAAAAACTTTTTAGTTCGATGTAGTCCCGTTTATTTTTTCTTTGTTTTCCTTGGCTGAGGAGGTATGTCCAAAAAATATTACTAAGAGTAATGCCAAAGAGTTTACTGCCTACATTTTCTTCCAGGAGTTTTATGGTTTTGGGTCTTAGATTTAAGTCTCTGATCGGTTTTGAGTTTATTCTTGTATGTGGTGTACAAAAGTGATCTACTGTTATTATTTTGCATGTATCTCTGCAGTTTTCCCAACACTGTTTATTGAAGAGACTGTCTTTACTCCATTGTATATTCTTGTCTCCTTTGTCATAGATTAACTGACCATGTAAGCATGGGTTTATTTCTGAACTCTGTATTCTGTTCCATTGATCTATATGTCTGTGTTTTGATTACTATAGCCTTGTAGTATAGTTTGATATCAGGTAGCATGATACCTCCAACTTTGTTCTTTCTCAAGATTGCTTTGGCTATCTGGGGTCTTTTTTGGTTCATATAAATTTTAGGATTATGTGTTCTAGTTCTGTGAAAAAATATTATTGGTATTTTGACAGGGATTGCACTGAATCTGTAGATTGCTTTGGGTGGTATGGGCATTTTAACAATGTTAAGTATGTCTGTCCATGAGCATAGTATAGACTTCTATTTATTTGTATCTTCAGTATTTTCCTTCAGTTTCTTACCGTTTTCTGAGTACAGATGTTTTACTGCCTTGGTTAAATTAATTTTTAGATATTTTAGTCTTTTTAATGTGATTGTAAGTGAGATTTTCTTACTTTCCTTTTCTTATAGTTATTGGTGTATAAAATGCAGCAGATTTCTGAATATTAATTTTGTACGCTGCTACTTTGCAGAATTCATTGACTATAGTTCTAATAGTTTTGTTTTTGTTGTTGTTGAATCTTTAGAGTTCTCTATATATAGTGTTATGTCATCTGCAAATAATGACTGTTTTACTCCTTCCATTCCAATTTGAATGTCTTTTATTTCTTTCTTGTCTGATTGCTGTGGCTGGGACTTCCAGTACTGTGGTGAGTAAGAGTGGTGAGACTCAACATTCTTCTTGTTTCTGACATTAAATAAAAAACTTTCACCTTTTTACCATTGACTATAACGTTATCTGTGGCTTTGTCATACGTAGCTCTTATTTTGTTGAGGTATGTTCCTTCTACCCCCATTTTGCTGAGAGTGTTTTAAAAAAATGGATGCTAGCTTTTGTCAAATGCTTTTTTTAATCTATTGCTATGATTATAAGATTTTTATCTTTCATTATGTTTATATGGCATATCAGTTAATTATTCAGACCTTGCGTGGAGTTGTAGTTACAGGAATGTATACATTCTTCCACATTCATCAAACTGTACACTTAGAGGGCATTTTTTCCTGTATAAATTATGCCTCAACAAAGTTGATTTCAAAAGAAAAGAACTTTTAAAATGGAGACGACCTTTAAATATCTGGAGATATTTTCATTTCTTTGCTTATATTTATTTATCAGGTTTCTCGTAAATGAGAGGGAAGGTCTAGAGTCTCCAGGCCACTCTCCCGTGTGATCTCAGTTGGCTGGAGACAGAGCACCTCTTCCACTTTTTGGGGTTTTTGAACACAGATCTGACCATCGCACCAGGTGTAGCAGCGGGAACAGTGCACGGCAAGCAGCCCCGACATTTCCGAGCTCCCCTCTCACTCCTTCGTGGGGCGGCCGGGAGCTATTGCTGTTGTGCCTGGGCTCCCAGGGTTGGTTCGGGTTTGCTTTGTGTGTGGCTCATACTTCCGGGACCCGCGCGGGGCTGACGCCCTGCCCCTGCCCCAGCCCCAGCATGGTCTCCTCGTGGCAGGGGTAGAAGTGCAAAACCAGGGAGTGGACGAACAGGTGCCTCCTACGGCCCAGACTGGAAACGGCCCCCTGTCACTTCCATCCCTGTCCGACGCCTGGACAAGTCATACGGCCACATTCAGGCGTTGGTGGGGCTGGGACACAGATGCCTGCCTGGACTTGGGGAGCTGCAGAGTTGCCTGGGGAAGGGTGTTGACGTGGGGCAGGGTGAGGCGCTGGACCCATAACGCAATCCGCCACACTGAGCCCGCCCTGCTGCTAATGCAACTCATTGCCTTGGGAAGAAGGACTTGACTTTTAAAACCAGCTTTATTGAGGTGTAATTCCTATGCCGTAACGTGTATTCATTTTAAGTATACAATTCCATGATTTTAAAGAAATATATGAAGTTGTGAAACTATTACCACTGTAAAAAATAATAGAAACAGCCCTGGCTGGTGTGGCTCAGTGGATTGAGTGCTGGCCTGTAAACCAAAGGGTTGCCGGTTTGATTCCCAGTCAGGGTACGTGCCAGGATTGCAGGCCAGGTCCCCAGTAGAGGGCATGTGAGAGGCAACCACACATTAATGTTTCTCTCCCTCTCTTTCTCCCTCCCTTCCCCTCTCTCTAAAAATAAATAAATAAAATCTTAAACAATGCTAATATAAACAGAGCTACTTAAAATGGGGTCAGAGCTGCCACTCCGGAGGAACTGCCTTGCACGCCTTCTTCCTTGAACCTTTGGAGTGTTAGAACTGGGCACAACTACTTTTGGACTGGGCCCTAAAGCAACCAGGTGTCCCAACAGACTGTTTGCAAAGACAAGAGAGCGGATGTTATAACTACCAGATTAATGACACAGGACTGAAAATTAAAACCATTCTCTAGAGCAGCATCACTGAGTTATTTCTTCTGCACCTAGAGAAATGCCTTCCCCTCTGGATATAATGAATATTCTATTGATGTACTATTCTTTCTATTCATGGAATTGTTCCCTTTCCCTTTCTCATAAATCCCCCTTGCTTTTGCCTCCTAATCAGACTACTGTTCGGGTTTTCGTCTGAATCAGAGCTTCTCAAATAGCTATTCTTTTGGATCTCAAATAAACATTTGTTGTCTCTCACTCTGCCCTTTTATTTTTAGTTGAATACAATGACTTAAGAAACTTTGTGCCCATTAGTGGCTCGGAAGCCACTGACCTACTTTCTGTCCCTCTAGATCAGAGCTCTGGGGACATTTTCAGAATACATGTGTGTTCTTCTGTGTCAGCCTCTTTCGCTGAACAGAAGACATTGGAGGTTCAGCCATGCTATAGCACGTACTAATACTTTGTTCCTTTTGTTGTCAAGCAACATTCCAGTGTATAGATACACTATGTGTTGTTTATCCATTTATCAGCTGATGAACATTTAGACCGTTTCCACTTCTTGGACTGCTATGCAGGATGCACCATGAACAAGTGTGTACGAGAGACCTGACTGTTGGGTGCTCTGTTTCAGGGACCTTCATGTGCCCTCGTGTGACAACTGTGTCACATCTGTGAACCCCACCAGCCTGCCAGCCCGCAAGGGCGGGCATCCTGTGACTATGCCACCTCCCTGGAAGTCTCCGGTCCCGGCTGGGTGAGGCTCCTTGGCACTGACTCTTAAGACTACTCTTTGCAGGTACAGCCAAGGGGGACGCCAGCTACGAGCCGCCCTCCCCGGGGACCCATTATAACTGCAGCACCAACCCAGAGATCAGCAAGGTGACGCCTGACAGGTACATCCGTGGCCCCTTCCGGGGGAGCTGGACTGGGGGCAGCGGTGGGGCCCGGGCTGGATCTCTGTGCCAAGCCCGCAAGTCGTTTTGGAGAGCGTGTGCCCCGCTCTAGGCTGGCACCGAGCCCAGAGACCTCGATAGGCAGTCCTGGCCTGTGGAGCGCCTGGCAGAGGCTGTGGGCGGAGGGTCTGGGGCCGCAGTCTCCAGAGGAAGGGAAGCGTCCCCGAGCACACGCTTCGGTTCCCCCCTCACCTCCGGCCTGTCTGCCCGCAGCCGCAGCCCCTCCCAGATCTCCCCAGCAGACTCTCAGGCCAGTAAAGGGCACGGAGCGGGCGCCACCCAAGCCCAGGGGGATGCCTCTGTCTCGACGACTGCTCCCATCTCTTTCTCCTCCACGGGAAGACCCATCCTGGTTTCAGGTAATGATCACGCCCGAGAGGCGGGGCCCCTCCCAGGATGGCAGGAGGAGGGAGGTTTCTCCTGGGGCTGCGGCCTCTGCTGGGTTGGGGGACCCAGGTGGACCCCGGGTTTCTGGCTTCTTGGGCTGAGGCTGGGGCCCTGCCACTTGCTAGCTATTATTTCTTAATTCTTGTGAGTAGGGATTTCATTCACAGCTTCCTCCTCATGGCCCATAATTGCTACTCAGAAAATATATTTGGTGAATGATTTTATGACTTTAGCTAATTGCTTAGTGCCTTTGAGCCTCAGTTTTCTCCCCTGTAAAATGGTAATAGCATGTACCATGCCAGGTGAGTATGTAGCTAGCAGCTCAGCACCCGCTCCTTGCAGACATTTGCTTGCTCTGAAGTGCGATTCGTTCTAGGGCCTGCAGTTCTAGTATTGGGCACCAGGTGGCAGTAGTTCTCAGGCCCGCCGTCCTCATCGTGGGCCTGGACTTGCAGCATCAGCAACTTGTTAGAAAAACAAATTATGGGCCCCGCCCTGCCCCACAGAGTCAGAATCTGCATTTTAACGTGGTCCCCAGGAGGTTCTTCTGCACTTTCAAGTTTGAGAAGCACTTACCTGGCACAAACCATTTTCTAGCAACTAAACTACGGAAAACAGTAACTAGTTACATGATCTTCACAAGTGGCAAAAGAAAGAAGGAGTCAAGTTAAATACTAAGATGTAAAGAAATACACCCAGGTCGCGGTGCGGCGTGTGGGCCCTGGAGTCCCCCTGGCCTGGCCTGAGCCAGGATTCTGCCGTTTCCCCTCAGGGTGGCCTTGGCTGAGGTACTTAACTTTTGAGAGCCTCATGGGCCCCTTTGTCAAGTGGAGGTGTCACGCTGCCTACGGCCCAGGGCTGAGTGTGTGTGTGTGTGTGTGTGTGTGAGCCGCACACCCCAACGCCCGCCTTCGAGGAGCCCGTCTCGTGGGGACACACATCCCCTGTCTTTGTCCTTCTGGACCTCAGTTCCCTCCTCATTCTGGCCCCTTGGCTCTTTGGTTCCCCCCTCTAGAAAGGGCTTGCTCTTTACTTGGAAGCCACCCCGATGGGCTTCGGGGAGCCAGGGCAGGGAGGGCAGGTGGGTGCGGGCTGGGTCGGCCCCAGGGCCTGGTTTTCAGACCTGGCTTAGGAAGGGGCCCCCGGCTCACCACCATGAGGCGGCCTTGCGGGGCTGCCAGCCTTAGGGTGGAGAGTGCAGGGCCACCTCTGTGTTCCAGGCTCGGTGCTCTTCTGGGTGGTCGTGGTGCTGGTGGTCTTCGTCGGCTCCGGCTCCTTCCTCCTGTGCCACCGGAGGGCCTGCTGGAAGTGGATTCGGCAGAGTGAGTGGCTGTGCCGCGGGCCTCGCGGAGGGCGGGGGTCTGTGCCAGCCGGGCCGGGGCCTCCCTGCCCCGCGTGGCGCTGCCCGCGGAGGCTCTCTGAGGCTCAGGTCCCGTCCCCGTGTTGTTTCAGAGCTGTACCTGTGCCACCCAGTGCAGACCTTCCGGCCCAAGCAGGAGCCCGTGGGTAAGTGGTCAGGTGTGCCTGGGGCCTGCTCCTCACCAGGAAACCCAGGCCCCTCCTGAGTCGTAGGCTGTGCTTGCTTTCTGATCCCTGCCCAGCCTCCAGGCCAGCTCCGCCAGGCAGCCTTCCGGAGCCCCGGCCCTCCCACCCACCCAGGCAGCAGGTCTCCCTCCCAGCTCTCACCTGGGGGGAGGGGCTTCCCAGACACCTTGTACCAAGTGCCTTCTGTCTCCCGGGGCAGCCCCTTCTAAGGCAGGGCAAGGTCCTCCTCAGCACCCTGGGTGCTGGGCCCTGACCACAGAGGAAGGAGCAAACCCGAATGGTCTGAGCTTCCCTGTCTGGTTTTAGGGCAGCCTGCCTCCCCTGCAGGGTCTCCTGGCCCAGGCACCCCAGGGCAGGTGGGCAATGATTTTCTTTTTGTAAGGAAGCGAGTAGCTGGCCCAGGGCCACACGTCTTAAGAAGAGCCATTGCTGGCCCCTGAGATTGCCGCTCTGCATGTAGAGGGCTCAGAGCTGCCCCCTTTGCCTCCTCCCCCCAAACTCTGTCCACCGCATGGCCGCCCGGGCGCCCAGTGGTCAGCTCCAGGGGGGATGGCGGCCCCCTGGCCTCCGTCTCCCCGGGACCCTCGGAGAGCCTTGCCGCGGCCCGACTTTGGACTTGGGCACGAGGCACGTTTTGAATCTGAGGAGTTTCACAAGCAGGTGCTCGTGTTCGCCCCGCGCGGGGGGTTTTTGTGTGTTGATGGTTTCAAGCCTTTTTCCATGAGCTGTCAGGCTCTGTGTCTCACTGAAACCTGTGTTTGCTTTCTTGACATTTTTCTAGTATTAGAATTTCCATTGCCGTCAGTTTATTTTTTTTCTTCGAACCCTTGTGACAGCAGTTTTGTCACACACAGAAAAAAAGAGACAGAAAGAAAAAAAGGCACCTGCCCTTAAGAAGCCAGCCCTGCAAGGAAGGAACCCTGAGCCCTGAGACTCGGTGGAGGCCGGTTCTGGCCCTGGGCTTCTGGTGGGCGCAGGGTGGGGGGTGAGGCCGGGGTCAGCATGCGGGGCGCAGGATGGGAACGGACTGCGTGGGGTGGACGCCCCGTTCCCTCGGGACGGCGCTGCGGGTGCTGCAGGAGGGAAGGAGCGTCTGCTCGTTTGTTTGCTCACGCATATATTCATGTCACTGGGGGGCTCCTAGTGGGTCTGTGCTGGGTACAGAAACCGCCCTCGCTCTCCTGAGCTTTCAGACCAGCGTCAGTTGCTCAAAGAGCCTGAAGGTCAGCGGGATGGGAATGCGCGCGCCGGCTCTCGCACGCCGAGGATCTGGGCAGGTGCCCGTTACGTGGGCGCCAGTCACCTCCCGAACTGATTGGGCTGTGTGGCGTGTGTCCTTGGTGGCCAGCATTTACAAAGCCCATGTGTGACCTCATTTCACCTCTCGCGGCATCCTTGGGGGGCACCTGCTGCTATCATTCTCCATTCACAGATGAGGGACCAGAGGCACAGGAAGATGTGTAGGGCCAGGTGGTTAGTGAGCAGTGCGACCAGGATTTCGTTGTTATTGTGGGTGGTGAGGTGTTTGTAAAAAGGGTCTCACACCCTCGCACTGTTGACATTCGGGACGGATAATTCTTTGGGGTGGTCCTGGGCCCTGTAGGATGTCAGGCAGTTTCACTGGCCTCCAGACCCACCAGCTACTAGGAGCCCCTCCCAGTTGTGACACCCGAAAATGTCTCCGGACATTGAGAAATGTCGCCAGCGGGAAAATCAGGCCTGGTTGAGAAACACTGATTAAAATTCTTTCAATCCTTCATTTTCTTGGACGCTAAAGTCATTACTTTATCAGTTAATTCAGGCAGGTTTAGTTAGGGAAAAAACAGTGTGTTGTTGCTTTGAAATAATGTCAAACTTACAGACCCGTCCCAAAGACAGGGCAGGGGACTGACCTCTCCTGGACCATCTGAGAGTAAGTCGCTGACTTAGTGCCTCATCACCTCTGCCACTCCAGTGTGTGTTCCCTCCTAACGAGGCACATTCTTACGCAACTGCCGTGAAACCATCAAAATCAGAGGAGTCCCCTTGACACGTTGCCACCAGCCACTTCTCGGACCCCAGTCAGGTTTCTTCCTTTACCCTAATAACATCCTTCAGAGCGGAAGAATTCAGCTCCGAATCTCGTGTGGCATTGCGTTGTCACATCTCCATGACACGGGGTCAGTTCCTGTCTCTTCCTTTGCCTTCGTGACTTTGCCACTTGTGAAATTTCCACCAGTGGTTCCGTGGGTGTCCCGCCCCTTGGCCTTGTCTGGTGCCTCCTTGCTGCGGGGTTCATGCGGCGCGTCTCCCGTGGGAAGCGCCCCAGACGGACGCAGAGCCCTCCTCTGCTGCATCCGCCCTCCCAGGTTTCACTTGCTCCCTTTTCTGGTGGTGGTTCGCTTTGGCGAAGGTGGCTCAGCCGGGCTTCTCCTACGGGAAGGTGCCCTTTCCCCTCGGTCATCGCTGAGTTCGTTCAGGAGAGCTGCTTGGAGGATATGTAAATACCCTGGTCCTCGTCAGACTTTCCTCTCCTTCATTTATGTGTTTATATCTGACTCATGGATTCCTATTTCATTCTGCTGCCATCTTTTTAAATTTGATGTTCGAATCGTCCCCAGTTAGGTCAGAAGGGGCCACACCCAGCTGGCTCTGCTGCCCGGTTGTCCCGTCCTTTTGTGTCTGGAGCACATCTTTACTCGAAGATGTTCCCAGCTTAGCCAGTCCTTTCCTGCCCCGCCCCGGAGCCCCACAGCTCTGCAGGGAGTCCAGGATATGAATCGAGTGCGGGTAGCCAAAGCCTGGCTGGACCTCTGTGCCAAACCCTTTCCTTGGGTCTGTTTCACCTCCCACAGCCGCTGGGACCTCGGGCCGCGGAAGGGATGGGACTGAAAGGGAGAGTGGCTGGGACGGAAGGGACCGACGGTGACGTGAGAGCCAGAACCCACGTGCTCGGCCACCGCAGCTCTCAGGGTGGCCCTGTGAGGCCTTGTGCTGCCCCAAGAGGGCCAGCGATACCCAGCATGTCCCTGGACCCCTGTCCCGGGGTGCATCTACGGGAAGATTGTAATTATTCCAAAAGCAGTGAAACCAATGAATGGAGACAGTGGACTGAAGTAACATTTTTAAGGGAAAAGCTCTTACGAAATCGAGCTGTGTACTTGGCACAGTTTGCTCTGAGTCTTCAGCAGAGCACACAAGGGGGCTGGGCTGTGGCCCAGCTGGAGGCGGCCGCGCCTGCATTCTGGCTTCGACCTTTCCGCGCCGGTGTTATCCTGTGCTTGTGTGCGAGGGTCAGTATCAAGTGCTGATTTTCTCTTCGTTGGGACAGAGGCGGTCCGGGGACCCGCTGTGTGCTGGCCATGGCTGTGCACCTTCCCTTTTTAACGTGAAGACATTTTAAGTAGAGTTTAATTTTTAGAACAGATGTACAGAAAATTTGAGAAGGTAATAAATGCAGAGAGTCGCCGTCCACCCCTGCCCAGTTCCCTCTGTTACTAACATCTTGTATCAGTGTGATGCATTTGTCACAATGAACAAGCCAACACTGATACAGTACTATTAACTAAAGCCCACACTTTATTCAGATTTACTTAGTTTTTACCTAACGTCCTTTTCAAGATCTCATTTAATCTTCAAAAAAACCCTCCAACGTTGGCACGATCCATCCCGTTTTCCGGACGAGACGACCGAGGCCTAGAGAGGCAAGGTCAAGCGCGGGGTTTCGTTGCCAGGAAGGCCCCTCTCCAGGAGTGCTTGGCATCTGGCGGGCTTTCAACTCTTTGGGATTAAAAACACCACCTCCCTGAGAACTGAGAACTGAGAACTGCCGTGTTGTTTTCTTTCTGGTTATTTCCTGAGGGTGTGTCCCCGAAGGAGAGGGACATATAATGCCCGGAGCACACCCCTTCCCAGGAAGATGAAACCAGTTCCCAGGCAGCAGCCGTTGGGTGTCTGTTTACCCATGTCCTCTCCAAGACTGAGTTTTATCATGTTAATTTCTTTTGTCATGGTACTTTGTCACCCCCTACCACCCTGCATCCCAGTGACTTGGCACCAAATCACTGTTGGCCGTCTGCAGAACTCAGTCAGCCACAAAGGACAGGGAGTCAATGTGCCTCAGGCCGGAGAGCACTCCTCAGAGCGGGGGGCCTGGTGGGAAGGAGCCCCAGCTGCCCTGCCCCAGGTGACCAGGCTGCTGGGAACTGCGGTTATCAGATTAAGTAAGTGGGTGGGGTTCGTTAAATCCAAAATGAAGAACTGGGTCGTTTTACACGCCTGCTTCTTTTCATCGTTCTGGTCTGTTTCCCCTTCAGACACTTCCTATCTGTTGACAGGCATTTAGAGGCGGCTCTCTCCCAAACTGACCTGTGTCCACGCAGCCCTGTCTGCCCACCTTAACTTGTGTTGTTGCGGTTGGTTGGCCTCTGGGGAGCTTTCAGCGAGGATTCGGGGCTGGTGGTTCCCCAGAGCTGCTGAAATCAGGGAGAATGTTCTGGAAGTGACCTAGCTGGCATACTGGCATCTCTCGAGCAGATTTCTCCAGTCAGGTGCGCACGCCTGGCAGCAGCGTATGCTGAGTCTCCGCAGGCGGCCTCCTGGAGAGTTGGCAAAGGCTGCGCTTCCCGGAAGCGTGGTCTGCGCCTGGGAGTTGATTTGCTCAAAGGTAGTGCCTGGGCCGTGGTCAGATGTCAGCTTGCACTTGGCCATGACCTGGCACCCTGCTCAGTCTGAGAAGAACATCAGAGCAGAGGGTGGGGGTTGGGGAAGGGGGATAAAAATCGTGCCCTGAGAGTCATTGCATCAGCAGCTCCGCGCCCCCCAAAGGGTGCGGTTGTCCTCAACGTGGTCACATGGGCTTGTTAAAGCGCAGTTCACAGAAAATCGAACTCAGAGAGGCCTGAGCCAAGAGGGCTGCGGGGCGGCCTGGCAAGGCAATCAGAAAACGTCCCCAAGGCCCGTCACCGACCCTCGTCAGCCTGCCTCGAGGTCCCCCGCGTGTTGCGCCTTGATCTGGACCGCTCTGGGCTCTCCAGACCCTGGGTGCTTCCAGGTGGTGGTAGCTGCCGTATGCAGACCGGTTTCTGAGTTGGCAGAAGCTTCCTTGGCTCCAGCAGGGACGTGCGCTTCTCCAGACCGTTCCTTTCGTGTGTGTGTGTGTGTGTGTGTGTGTGTGTGTGTGTGTGTGTGTGTGTCGTGGGGGGGGGGTGGGAATGGGGGATTGGGGAGGGGCCCAGTGTGCTCACTGGCTTGGTGGCTGGAGGAAAGGTGGGTCTCTAGTTCTCTGATAGCCACTGGGGAAGTGGGCCCCGGTGACCCCCCCTGGGGGGCCTGAGCCTGGGCCCTGAAACCTGCCCCCTATTCTCCAGACGAAGGGCCTAACTGAGCATCAGCAACTGCTGGGGATCAAAGAGGGTGGCCTTTGTCTGCATGTGGGGTGGGGCAGGACCCAGCAGCTACCAGACCCCCGCCTTGGTAAAGTTACCGCTTTTTTTCTCTTCGCAGATCCCAGGCCCTTGAGGAACCAGGTAGTAAGTACCACCCCACCCCCACCCAAGCCTGGAGCCCTGAAATCTGGCTCCTCAGCCCATCTTCTGGTGCTGAGAGCTGCCTGGTCTCCTGCAAGCTCATGCTGGGTTGGCCCCATGCTTGGAGCTCTGAGCAGGGCGGGGCCTCAGCCAGGCCCTGGCCACCCCCACCCCCTGCCCCAGCAGCAGCCTCGGGCTCCTGGCTTATCCCGCCGGGGACTTCCAGAAAGGCCTCCTGGACCGTGGATTTGATTTGGGCCACTTTGGGTGCCAGGTGTGGCCAGATCACGAGGAAGTCTGCGTTTATTTCCCCTTTTCTCCCTCACTCCTCTGTGAGATTTGTCCTCGAGGCTGGGATGATAAATCAGTAGCAAGAATTTTTAAGAACAGCTGTCGTGTATTGCACATTTACCGCAAGTGAGGCTCCTCGCTGTGCTCCCACGACATTAGAGTTGTAAGGACCCTGCTGGTCCTTACGACACACGGAGGTCAGACTGCTGTCCCATTTTATAAAAGAGAAAACGGGGGCCCAGACAGGAAAGGTGACTCCCCAGTGGGGAAGCAGATCTTCCAGGATCTGAGCCCCCTGGCGGCGACTCCAAAGCCAGTGCTCTGAATGGCCACCCTGAGCTGCTCCCTTGTAAGACCAGCTTCACCTGCCTTTTACAGAGCGCTCACTGTGCAGGCGCCGGGCTAGGGTGTTTACCACGTTACTGCCGACCCCAGGACCACCCAGGACGGGACCCATACACCAGGCCCTCCCTGGGCTCGTCCTCGCATGCTGCTCTGTGCCCAGCCCCCGAGGGGCGGCTCCGGCAGTGGGAGCTGAGGCAGTGCCCTGTGGGGGCTGAGGTGGGCGCCAGGCCGGGCCCTCCATACGGCTGGGTCTCGGGCATGTAGGATTCACCCATCTTTTTTTTTTTCTTCCACTTACCAAATTTTTCATTATTTTCTTTTAACTCAAACATCCATACGTGGACAGTTCACAATCTATGGGTAATATTAACTAAATAACATAGCTTTTACAGTTTCACATGTGTATGTAGGCACTCCCCACCCCTTTCAGCATCCATTCGTTACTGAACTTTGTACACCAGCATTGAAACATTACAACATTTTGCTGTACCAAGTTTATAAACTTTGTCAGTGCAATAGGTGTATTTTTCAGGGACAGAGCAAAGGTTAATTTCTCAGGGTCCCTGCAGCCTCCTTTAGCAGCATTTGAAGGATGATCTTTTATATACATCTGTAACAGATGAGAAATAAACCAGATTGCACATTCCTTTTTTGTAATGCTTAAACCATGTACCAAGTTTTGGGTCTAAATTGTGTAGAATAAGTTAAACCTAAATTGCATTCTATTAAGCAATACGAGTGTATTTTGATAAGCATAGTTATGTTGACATAAAGTTTTAAAAAGAAAAAGAACCCATTTATACATGGAGGAAGTTCTCCATCCTTTAATTTTTAAACATAACAGATAGAACCACACTACACTTGGTTCAGGTAAGTTGCTGTTAAATACCGAGAAATTTCATGAAAAAGGTATTCAGCCCTGCCTCTTGGGGCTCAAGGGGTTGAGTACTGGCCTGCGAACTGGAAGGTCACCGGTTTGAGTCCAGGTCAGGGCACAGGCCTGGGCTGCAGATGTGTGAGAGGCAACCGATCGATGTTCCTTTCTCACATCGATATTTCTCTCCCTCTTTTCTACCTCCCTTAACCTCTAAAAAAATAAGTAAAATCCTCAAAAAAAAAAAAAAAAAAAAAAGAAAAAAAGAAAAAGGATATTCAATGATTTGTAAGATAATCAAATGTCTTTTATGGCTACGTGGGCCAATGCCTTCATAGTAAATGGTTAAAAAATGCTGTCTTTTGGGTTTCAAATTGTTATAATATTCAGAATTAGGTAGCTATACTTTCTGAATTACTCAGTCTCTCTCCATTTGGAAGGCAGCAGGTAAATGCTATACATTAGAACATTCCATGAGACCACTTCTCCTTTGCACTTACCTATCAAAGTCGAAAACAAAACCAATGCTTTCCTGAAGGCGTAGCTATTTTTAGAATGTATTAGTGCAATCATAGCCAGCTGCTGTCCCAGAAGGTCAGGGCTGGGCCGTTAGGGTGGCTGGGAGTTGATGCCTACAGACTGACTCTTCCACTCGTGGATTCTGGAACCAGAGGCCAGGGTTCGAGCACTGGCCAGACACTAACCCTGAGCAAGTCACGTGACGCCTCTGTGCCTCAGTTCCCTGGTCTGTACAATGAAGAGGGTGCTACCATTAGTCACCTCACAGGGTGGCTGTGAGGATTAACCTGCCAAGGGGTACACACATACGATGTTGGCCACGATCCTTATTATTTAGTGCAAGTTCAAAGCAGTGTGGCTTCTCCTGGAACCTCACGTGCAGGTGGGTCAGGACGTCAGGGCCGAGAAGCCGCGGCGGGGGGAGCATGTGGCAGCCCCAACGCAGAGACGGAGGCTGGCTGGGGCCAACAGAGACGAAGAAAATGGGGCTTCGCAGTTGAGAGTCGGGGTGGACGGGGGTGTGGGCGCCTTGCATCAGCGCCTGCCTCCTCTGCCCGCAGGAGCTGGAAAGGGTCGTATCAGTGACAAAGCCCAGCACAGAAGACACGGGGTCAACCAGCCAGTCGGTTCTGCGGGAGAGCCAGCGCCTGCTGGGCGCCAGTCCGGGTGGGAGCCCCTCGTCCCCCAGGGACCTTCCCGAGCCCCGGGTGACTGCGGAGCACACCAACAACAGGATAGGTGAGTTCGCTTGCTCGGGGTTCCTGGTATGGGCCGGGGTAAGGGGGCAGTGGGGAGACGGGTCCCGGGCCCCCTGCTGATACCAGAGAGCCTGGGTCCAGAGGGCCCTTGTGCGCGGGAGATGCTTTTTGTGAAAGTGTTGAACTGCACTCGGGTGTCCCGCGCAGCTCATGGCACAGCAGTAGTGGTGGCGGAGCTGCCGCCGCAGGGCCGGGGTGAGAGGTCCTGAAGTCACCCCGTGCAGCTGCCTTGGTGGGGTGCGGTAGGGCGGGGGGAAGGGGCACCCCCTGCCTGGTGCCACTGTTACTAAAGGGAAGAGGGAGTGCCACCCCTAGTCCCCGAGAAGGAGCCCCTGAGGGGGCAGGAGGGAGACACACAGTGACCTCAGAGCCGCCGCTTGCCTGGTGTGTTCCGGGCACTGCGAGCGTCACATCTCGTTGTCACGCAGCTGTCTGAGGGTGCTGTCTTCCCCTTTACGCAATTGGGGAAACTGTGGATGGAGGGTGGGTGGAATGATTTTCCCCGTCACACGGCGCACGCAGGACCCTAAAACCCCTGCTCTGTCGTCATCACCCCTGGCCCCTGAGGGCGCGGAGGCCAGCGCTTCCCGGGGCAGCCGCTCTCCAGCTCGGACACACCTCTGCTCGGGCCTCGCCCAGGCCTCGCGCCGCCTCTGTTACTCTCCCCGCCCTGGTACCACCAGAACATTTTTCCCAGATTGTGACCTCTCCGTATGACACTCTGCTTAAAACCTTCCAAGCGTCCCTATGACCTTCAGGATGAATTCCAGGATTCTCACTCCGGCATTCAAGACAGGTCACAAGTTGCCTTCTTCCCACCAGACCCCCCTGCCTCCTGACCCCACATGGCCTTCCACTCAGTGGCTGTTTCCTAAGTTCACCGGGTCCTCTCTCACTTCTGAGCATCTTTCCGGGAGCTGCTTCCTCACCTGGGACAGCCAACTCCACCCCCTTGAATTTACTTAATTCCTGATGTCCTGAGGACCCAGTCGATTTGCCTCCTCCTCCAGGAGGCCTTCCTTGCTTTTTCCACTCTTCTGTCTAGAGCAGATGCACCTGTGCTGTGCTCCCTGCGACGCCACGCCTCCCCACCCGTGTTCGTGGCACTGAGCAGCGTGACTGTGTTTGTGACCTCCTGCCCCCTCACCTCTCTCTGAGCCCCCTGGGGCTGGGCCTCAGGGGGCCCATCTCTAGCTTCTCTGGAAGGTTAGCCATCACTTGGATAATACCAAAGAGGCACTTATAATCACCCTGCACATTTCTGTGGAAGACGTTGGTAGACAGAACTCTGGGACAGAGTCTTCCGTACGAAACAGAAACTTTTGGCATTGCAGCTTTTGGCGAGTTTAATTTAAAAGGAATGTATTTTGGGAAATAACTGCCAAAGGCATCTCTTTCAAATTTCCTAAGAAGCCTAAGTTGCACTCTCGAGCCCATGCTTTCAGTGCTGGGGCCTTCGGGAGTGGGGCTCCGTGAGTGTTTGAGGGGGTGATGGAGGCAGGTCCCGGACTCCCAGGACAGCTGGGCCGGAGGCTGGGCCGTGGGCAGCCCACCCAGGGCCAGGCCAGCCTGCGAGCCTCGCTGGTGAGTGGGGCAGTGGGGAGAGGCTGCGGAGGGCTTCTTGGGACACCCAAAGGTCAGTCAGCCTCTCGTCCTGCTGACACCAGCCCCAAGGAGCAGCCCCTGGCCCTGTCCCCACATGCTTTGTTCGGTTTCCGAGGAGGCCAGACTCTGGCTGAGCCTCATCCCTCCCTCCACCCCAGGCACCGGGCAGGAAAGCCCCCTTCCCCCACCTTACGCCACCCCACTATGACAACTTCCCTGGGTTCTGAAGCCCTGGGTGACGCAGGAAGTCCAAGTAGCTTTAGGAAGACCCTCCCCCTCCAGACTGGAGGTGCTGCCCTGTGGTGGGGGCAGAGCCAGAGGAATCAGGACCCAGGGAATGTGAGGGGAATGACAGCCTGGCCCTCAGCTGTGGCCTCTCTAACTGGGACCACCCACTGCCAGGCCTCTCTGTCTCCGTCTCCCTGTCTCTGGCTTCCCACCTCGGCCTGGCCTCGCCTCCCTGGGGCCTGCAGGTCTTGATGAAGGTGTGTATGGCTGGGCCTGAGGTCCTGTTTTCTCTCTGTGGGGGGCCGCCCACAGCTTCTCTCTCTCCCTTAGCCTTCTCTTTAGTTCCTGCCGCTATTTTGAACATTTCTCTCTTTCCGGGGGTGTTAAAACCAGAATAGAAGAGCTGGCATTACACAGTCGTGTTGATGGTGCAGGAGCCACAAGGATGTTTTGGGGGTTCCTGAATCAAAGCGGTGTCACTGGTTACCCAGAGAAATCCGAGCCTGTGCTCCACCCCAGCTCTGGAATCCTGCGGCTGAGCTGCAGGGAGCTGGGACCCTGCCCTGAGCTTGAGGCCCTCGGAAGCTGGCCTGCTGGCGCTTGCAGTCAGCTGACCTGGCTGAAGGCCGGGCTCCCCACTTCCCAGCTTCTCAGGCAGCTCACTCAACTCCCCTGAGCCTCCAAAGCCCCCGAAAGCAGACGGCGTTGAGGACCCGGGATATCACTTCTGATGGGCTGGCTGAACATTCTTCCGAGTGACATGCACAAGCGGCCCTACTCTGGGCCAGACAGGCAGGGCCATGGGGGCCTCAGGTGGGAGGTGGGCGGTCAGCAGTGAGCACGCCGCCCTGCCCCGAGCCGTCCGCGCTGCGGGCTGCTGGTGTTTTGAACAGGGCCGAGGTTGCTGCAGGGCGTGACCAGCTGTCTGGGTTTGCCGGGGCTGAAGAGGCTCCTGGGATGGGCGACTTCCCCTGCTAAAGCCAGGAGCATCCTGGTCAAACCGGGACAGGCTGGCCACCCCAGGGTTCGGCTGTAGGCAGGTGGAAAGGAGCGGAAGGGGCAGAGAAGCCGGCGTTTCTTTGGGGGATTCTGCGAACTGCCTGGCGACCTTGAGCAGGCCATTGAACCTCTCTGAGCTTCAGGTTCTTTATCTGTAACTGGGGCAATGATAGACTATTTACCTGGCAGAAAGAACGTGAGGGTTCTGGAGCTGAATTGCGGAAAGTGCCCCGAACCACATCCAGCACAGGTTAGCCTGTACTCGAGTTCCCTGGTGCTGCTGTTACTATTGTTTTTACTTTTATTTTTCCATCACAGTTGACATTGGAAGGTGCCCTTGTTCTTGATTTGACTTGCTTCCTCCCCATGACTTGCTCTCTCTCCCAACCCCCTTCTCTCCTTCCCTACCCTCTCCTGTTTGAAGCAAGTGGGCCGAGTTTGAATTCCCCAGCAGGCAGCTCCCAGCTCTCGGGGTGGTGGGGCTTCCTGCGCGCCAGAGAGGCTGCGTCCTCTGCCCCTCCTGCCGGGCTCTGGGGCTCTGGTCTCCTCACTGTGCCCCTCCTTTTGCTTTGCAGAGAAGATCTACATCATGAAGGCTGACACAGTGATTGTGGGGACTGTGAAGACCGAGGCGCCTGAGGGCCGGGGTGTGGCAGGGCCGGCGGGGCCCGAGCTCGAGGAGACTCTGGAAGTGGACCATGCGCCCCACTACCCAGAGCAGGAGACAGAGCCACCTCTGGGCAGCTGCGGAGACGTCATGTTCTCAGTGGAGGAGCAAGGGAAGGAGGACCCCTTGCCCTCGGCCGCCTCTGGGAAATGAGGCCGGCCCGGGCTGGGGCTGAGAGCGCCGCGGGTGCTCCCTGGTAGCCAGGGCAGCGCGGGCGCACCGGGCCGGCAGCGGAGGCCCGTCTGGCCTGAACCGAGTGTCCAGCACCCAGTAGCAACCAGCCTGCCCATGCAGGAGGGGTTCTGGGGGTCTCCCCCTGCGCCCCCACCCAGCTGCTGTCCGACCCCTCCCCTAGGGCAGTGGGTTGTGCGGTGCAGACAACAAAGGGGCGGGATCCGAGTGGTGATGTTTGCTGGGGCAACAGACAGACAGCAGGGACGGGGCACCCTGCCTCCTGCCGAGAAGACGTCCCAGAGCCCTGGGCATCGGACCCATTCCCCCAGGGCTGGAGCCCGCCTGAGGCAGAGGCCATGGGGCCCATACCCCACCCTGGGGCCTCCGGAGTGATACCTACGGGACCTGCCACCATGCCAACAACCCCCCAGTTACTGTGCATACTGTCCCCTTGGACACTGAGCCAGCGCCTGTGGTCTCTCCTCGGTCCAAAGGGAAGTGTAGAGCAGGAGGCTGCGGGCTGGCCCGCCTCAGCCTCAGCCGCCGCTTCTGCTGTGCCTGCGCCTGGGGAGTGCCCAGCCTGGCCTCCGACACAGCTTGGACTGAGGGGGACCCTCCTGGTGCTGCCCCCACCCCGTCCTCTTCTGTAGCCCCACAGCGGGTGGGCCATGAGGCCACGGCCACCTAGGATCAACTCACTCACCCTGGAATGTCCCTACCAGTGCCCACAGCAGGGGGCGTCTCAGGACCCTCAGCAGCTGCAGTGTCGGTCCCAGCCAGAGAGTCTGCCCAGCCCGCTGCTGCCCGGAGAAGGGCCGCTCTGCTTTGCTCGGCTTCCTCCGCGTGCGGACGAGGAACCGTAGGCCCCTCTGGGTCCCTGTCTGCTCGGCAGGCACCACCTGCTCCGTCCCGGGACATGAAGATGCACCTTCCCCAGACGCGGATCCGGGTGGCACCAGGCCCTGACCTCGTGCTGCAGTTGCTACGCTGTCGGGGAGGGAACATGGATGTCCAATGCCACGTCCTGCCTTACTCTGGACTGGGAAGGGGGGGTAGGGGGGAGGTGAAGAGGGTTGCTTAGTTTGATCTGTGTTTCAGGATTTTTGTGTTTTATACTAAGGAATGACCGCCCCACTAGCCAGCTCTCCTCAGGGCTTTCAGGCTCCTGTAAGCAAACAAGTGGCCTTGGAAAGGGACATGTGGGCAGATGACAAGACTGCGGCAGCCGGGGGCATTGAGTCTCAGGTTGCAGGGTGACTCCTGGAATTACCCTCTGGAAGCCAGGCCCCAAAGCCTCTGTTTACTCACCAGCCTTCTCCCTGCTCATTTTTGGAGGAAGTTGGGACTGGGTCAGTCATCACAGGGTAGTGAAACCACTCAGATGTTTTGGGGAAAGTTGGAGTGGCCGGGACACTGGAGAGGCAGTGGCAGCAGGATCTGAAGAAGTCGCGTGGGATGTGTGCAGTTCGCCCAAGTATGCGCGTGGGCACCTCCGCAGCGCGGGAGGACACCGCACGCCCAGCACGCAGGGACGCAGCGGCTCTGATGTGAGGACACCGGCACATGCTTAATGAAATCACGCGCTCCCTCACCCAGGAGCCCTTCACGGAACTTCTGATCCTTTAAAAGTTCATAAGGTTCCTTAAAAACGATCATAAGGCTAAGGAAACTCTCACTGAGGCTTAGTCTGGGAGGAGGTCCTGGGATCCCTCCCCACCTGTCTGCCCCGGCTGCTGGGGGCCGGGAGCCAGCCACTTGCTGGTGCAGCGCCTCCCGTGGCTGGAGGCCCCTCCTCAGCCTTCTTCCATGTAACTCCTGCTCCTGGTCCGGGCCTGCCTTGGGGATACGCAGAATAAAGCTGCTCTACACCAGGCTCCCTGTGGGTATTTGCAGACAGGGCTGTGCCCAGCAGTCCCAGAGCGTGAGAAAAGGGAGTCACAAAAGCAGCGTGAATGCCCTTGGCTGGGGGACACAGAGTGAGGACTGAGGGATACAAGGGAGCCTAGGCTTCCGCCTTGAGCGGGGAGGAGCCCAGCCTGTCTTCATGGTCACAGGTCAAGGGAGGGGGATGGCAATGTGGGGCCTGCTCCCACCTATGGCAGCCAGCCGGGGCCCCCCGGGACTGTGGCTGCCCTGTGGGGTGAAGGAAGGAGACCTGGGGCCGTGGACATGTGACCGGATGAGGAGCCAGCCTCCGGCCAGCCAATAGTGTGTGGGTTCTTGATTTCATGTAGGAAGGGTTTCACAGCCCGGTGATTTTTGGCTGTGTGTATTGAAGCTGGGGACAGACAAAGAGGGCTTAAGGCAGAAGAACAACAGGAGGTAGAAAGAGAAAAGGGAGCCTCAGAGACAGGATCGGGGGGTTAGCCCCGATGAGCTGCCGCTGCCCACTGCTCCCCTGGTTGCGAGTCCCGTGGGCTCCCTTTGAGTTGAGGAGGAAGCGAAGACACAAGGCCTCGGTGTGCTCCACTGAACGCTTGCAGTGCGTCCTTTGTCTTGAGGCTTTTTTCTTTGGCTGAGGGAATCCTAGGGGAGGCTCCTTCAATACATTGGTTCATCGAACATGCATATAGAGAGGTATCAGGAGTTATTTTCTGGTTGGTTTTATTTTTAAAGGACATCATCGACCCTGAGGCATGGAGGCAAGATATAGGACAAATGTGGCATGTGGTCCGTCACCCACATAAAAAATAAATTAAAAAAAAAACATCAAGGAGGGACCAGGACCGAGGCTGGCCTGTTCTGGGGCAGCCTTGAACATGTAAACCACTTGCTCCTAAGTGTCCTTGGGTAGATACGATCTTGTGACATTAGTCGGCTGTAAATTGCTCGCATCATTTGGCCTTGTTTAGTTCTTTTGTCTCAGTTTCCCTTATTCCACTTGCCAAAGAATTTCCCTAGCTTCTCACTGTCCTGCCTCAGTCAGACCTTGCCCGCGCCCCGCCCCCCGCAGGACCCCAGACCTCACCATTGAAACCACCGGTGTGGTGCGATGTGGGGCCTGGTGGTGGTAGAGCCAGGGCGAATACCCCTCCCCCACCAGCAATGAGGGGCCCTTTTAACCTCTGGCTGTGCTGGTGTTCAGACGGGCAGATGGACCAGGGCCCTGCTGCTCAGGGTGGCAGTTCCCAGGAGGCAGGGGACCTTACACACAGGCACACCCCTGTCCCTGAAGAGCTGCAGTCCAGGAGTGACAGAGAGTGATCAGTGTTCTGTGGAAGCGATTGCATTAGAAGAAAACCCGCTGTTTCCCAATGTGGCCTCATTGGCCGGAAACTACTCTAGGTTCTTAGACACTCTAAGGCGAGGGCCTCTCCCTCGAATGGAGCAAGACTCCGAGTCCCCAGAGTGCCCGAGGATTCCAGGGCATCGGAGATGCTGCCTGACATGTGGCTTGTACTCGCTGTATGGCAGCTTCTGTCCTCGGTCCAACCCAGTGGCCACTTGCCAAGAGGGGGCACTCCTTTGGCCTGCAGAATGCAGCCCCTCTGACTTACAAACAGGTGATCTTCAAAAGGGCGTTGGGCTTAGCCCCCTTTCCTCCCGGAAAAACAGCATTGTCATAATTGGTGGTTGGTTCCGAGCTGGCCCGCCAATGTCCATGTTAGCTTTGGTAAGGTGACCCAGGGCTTTCGGGATCTCCTGGGACCGGGTCTTCCTTGGGGCCAAGTTGCTGTGGGAGCCCCACAGTGCTCAGGCTCCCTCTTGCTCTCTGGGGGACCCAGAGAACCCCTAAGTCCCAGCCATAGGCCAGGCTGTTGGTCAGTCAGATGTCTGTAGCTCCGTGCGTCTGTGCAGTGTCGCGGGCCCCTCTGCAGGGGATGTCCTGCTCTTGGTACCAGTACGTTCCAGGCTGCACTGCACTACTGTTCAAAATCTCCTTTCTTCCCTTCCCTCCCCTCCTCCCTCCCAACAACACCCGTGATGCGTCAGGCCACGTCCAGCTGCAGAGAGTGCATGGCGTTCAGATGACCCTTCTCTCCTGTGTCCCCAATGAGACCGGTGGTGGCGTAGAACCGCACCTGTGAACAAGGTCATTCCAGGTGCGCCAGGGGAGGCCCCAGCCAGGGCACCGTGGCAGCATCAGGAGGGCGGCAGCAGTCCTGGCCAGGTGGTGTAGGAAGGCTTCTTGGAGGAGGTGCTCCACCAGAGTGACGTGACACGTGGGCGAGGCAAGGACCTGGGAGCTGAGACTCCTGGGCAGTTGGGGCCGCTGAGGCCCTGAGGCAGGAGTGCTCCTGGCAGGGGGTTCAGGGAGCACACGGGGCAGGAGGGGGGGTGGCCAGCGGGGCCAGGCCAAGGGGGACCTGGAGGGCCGCTGCCTGGAGCTCCGACTTTATCCTCAGGCCATCAGCCTCTGTTCATTTCTGTGTTCCTCCCATGAGAACAGTAAACATCCTGCTATTCTCTCAGCTCTGGGTGTGAAAGGCCAAACCAGGGGCAGCAAGCCCGTTTTAACCCAACCCAGAGGGAAGTGGGGGACAAAGGCAGGGGGTCCTGGTAACCAGGAATCAGTTGGATGTTTCTCAGAAAGGGCGGGGCTGGGGTGGCATTCCTGGTTAATTAACATCGCAGCTGGGGCCCAGGCTGCTGTCACCGCAGGAGGCAGGCAGTCTAGGTTCCTCTTTCTTTGGGTGTCTTCCAGAAGAGTAAGAACCAAACCGAAAAGTCCGGGGGCACCCACAGGCCTTGTTTGTGTTTTGGTGTGGGGTGCGGGTCATCTTAACCCGCCTGCTGCACTTTCCTCCTGGTCCCCATGGGCCTTTGGGGTTCAGCCTCCAGGTCGCGGGGTTCCCAGCCATACGGCCTCGAGCAAAGCCCTTGAGGGCTTTCAGCTTTGGCTTCCTGACCTGCAGCAAAAGGGCAATAATTACTTTGCAAGGTGGATGGAGGTCATGGGTGAAGTGCTTGACCTGGAGCCAGGCACGGTCCCTGTTCAGTAAATGGCAGTCACCGTAAGCAGCATCTAAAGAGCTTTC